AGCGCTGTGTCCCGCTGCTGTCCCTTACTGATGAGGTCCCTTAAATTTCCCGGGTTTCAAAGGAAGCAGCTCCTCTCCCTCCCTCCCTGCCGGCCAGGGAGGAGGGAGGCTCCAGCTGTGTTGCTCACCCAATAAGGAGTCTAAGAACGACTGGGGGGTGGAGCTTGCATGCTTTGTACCGATCAAATCGACCGCGTTGCCTGGGGACTCGCCTTTGCTCAGCGCTTCCCAGCGGAGAGGTGACAGTGGTTTTCCTTGCTGCATCCCCTTTGCCGGGTTGCTGCACTGTGGGAACCACTGCTTTAGGCTTCGTTTGGCTGCTGGCTGGGCTTTCTGCCTTTGGCTCAGAGGGGCTCAGAAGTTGAACATACCTGTGCTCTGAAAATCCCTTATTTTGGCTGCTGATCCCTTATTTCCGAGGCTGCTGGTCCCTTATTTTCAAATCTGTAAGTTGACAGCTATGGGAAGGATAACTGCCTAGGTAGGAGAAGTGATTGACAGTCTATAAATGGACTAAATAAAGCAAGTAATGAAATGTACCTTCATGTCAGTAACTGCAAAGCAGCTACAGGAATGTATGAATGCAGATTGCTTCAGGGCCTTCAAATGCTATCCATATGTTCCTCTGGTCAAAACGTGTTAAATCAATTGGAATACACGCAGCACCTCCTCCTGCCTTGGTTTGTAATGATATCCAGCCTGAAAGGGATGGGGCATTTTGGTAACATCTGCAAAATGGTGCTTATTATTACGTAGGTGGGTAGGTAACCTCGACTGGCTAGATGCAGAGCAAAAAACAAAAGCCTAATTGTGTGTCATCAACATACATAGGTTGCAATTGAGCATGAAAACTACTTGCAGATGTTACATCTTGCCGCCTTCACACCTGGTTTGCAGCAGCCTACAAATTCCCAGGGCCTTTGCTGAAGTGCTGTCTTCATGCTAGAAACGGCGTTTCAACACTCCGTGGAGAACACAATCAAGAAAAGCAGCACCCTGCCTTACTCCCAAGATCCAAGGAGCCCCTCAGCTGTTGAGCACTTTTGTATACAGGGAAAATGTAGTATCGATTCATCTATTTAGGTTCATCTGGGCAGGTGTTTTTCTCCCTTTTACAGTATCAGCACAAGCCACATCTGGGCCCTTTGGTTCTCATCCCCACCACCAGAACTGGATCTGCAATTCTTCATGTTAAAATCCTGAAATTCTTCCACTGGAAAATGTGAATTAAGAGGGCATGCAGAGGGTCAAGTGGGGAGGACTCTGTTGGTGCAGACAAGTCTGGAGGAGACTCCTTAAGGACGCTGCTGTTCCATTCCACCCTTTGCTGCAGATATGTGGATTGTTGCATGTCACATGTCACAGATTGCTGGTATGAGCAGAACTTCTGCCCTGTATTGCTTTTGTTTCAGTCTCTGTCCGAGAAGATGGCAAGGAGAGAAGCCATGTTTTCTTTGTCCTGATTTATGTATAATACAGTGGTACCTCGGGTTACGAACTTAATTCATTCTGGAGGTCCGTTCTTAACCTGAAACTGTTCTTAACCTGAGGTACCACTTTAGCTAATGGGGCCTCCTCCTGCTGCTGCGCCACCAGAGCACGATTTCTGTTCTCATCCTGAATCAAAGTTCTTAACCCGAGGTACTATTTCTGGGTTAGCGTAGTCTGTAACCTGAAATGTCTGTAACCTGAAGTGTATGTACCCCGAGGTACCACTGTAAATGCGTAGTTTAGTATCATGTCCACACCTCAAGCCTCATCTGCTGTGCAGTTTACACTGCTGAGTAATGTGTGCTCAAGCGTGCTCTGCAGCTTGAGTCATAGATGCACGTCGGGGACGATGACTGATGGATTTCTGCAGCGGCAAGGCTGAGAGGAGAGACATTCCAGCTGGGGCCAAGCCAGCTGGCTTTTCATCCCCCAGTTCCGACAGCTGGGGACATCACCCCTAGGTGAAAACGTTTCTGTGAATGCAGAATAAAAGCCAAGGAGGAACCACTCACATTCCCTAATGTCTCATCAGACTGCTGTTTCTCCTAGTCTAGTGGATGAGAAGCTGCATTCATGGAAGCCATGGGATTTTCTGGAAGCATCCTTTGGCCGTCCTTAATGAGAATACCAGAATCTGCCAATCCTGGTTTCTCTCTTTCCCATTTCCCCCGTTCTTCACATTTCTTCGTACTTGTGGTTTTTCTTTTAAAGTGCTGATGGAAATTTGTCAGCATTTTAGTGCAAATTTCTCCAGATATGGAAATTTGGAAATGAGGCTTTGCCTGATGTATACATTTTTCCAATTTCTCCCCATGTTAAGTGCATTATATTTCATGTTTACAACTATATGCTTTTTATGCACACTTTCCCCTAACAGACACATTTTGTACACATTATTTGGTTGGAGAAGTGAATTACACAAGATGGATACGTGCAAATTTTGAAGGATACCTGCCTTTCACTACGTGTATTGTTTCAGAAAGTGCAAATCAGGTAGGTTCACATTAATATCCAGCCCAAATCTAATTTATCCTCAAAGTCTAGTAATGGGTAATAAAGTTTCCTGCAACACAGTTTGCCCATTTCTCTCCATCTTCCCGCAAAGCCACAGTGGTTGTGGGGATGGATGAGAGACAACACACAGATCACAAAGGGTGGTGTTTTATATGAACAACATTTTCCTTAGGATACTCAGGCATTCTTTGTAACTTGCAAATACGTTGGTGTGGAAAAGGTGCCTTGAATGCTGCAAGTCTGAAAACCTTTACTCCACTGTGTTGTACTACCTTTGAAGGCTACCTTTGAAGGTGACCCGGAAACTACAGTTAATCCAGAATGCGGCAGCTAGACTGGTGACTGGGGGCGGCCGCCGAGACCACATAACACCGGTCTTGAAAGACCTACATTGGCTCCCAGTACGTTTCCGAGTACAATTCAAAGTGTTGGTGTTGACCTTTAAAGCCCTAAACGGCCTCGGCCCAGTATACCTGAAGGAGCGTCTCCACCCCCATCGTTCTACCCGGACACTGAGGTCCAGCGCCAAGGGCCTTCTGGCGGTTCCCTCATTGCGAGAAGCAAAGCTACAGGGAACCAGGCAGAGGGCCTTCTCGGTAGTGGCGCCTGCCCTGTGGAACGCCCTTCCAGCAGATGTCAAAGCGATAAATAACTACCTGACATTTAGAAGGCATCTTAAGGCAGCCCTGTTCAGGGAAGCTTTTAATCTGTGATATTTTACTGTATTTTTTATTTCTATGGAAGCCGCCCAGAGTGGCTGGGGAAACCCAGCCAGATGGGCGGGGTACAAATAATAAATTATTATTATTATTATTATTATTATTATTATTATTATTATAAACCCATGTCAGAGCCTCCCCTGTGTTTTCTGCCATATTATCAGAAAAACAAGTACTGTAAGCTTCCTAGCTGAAAAAACAAGGGGAAAGAGCTTTCAACTATTCTTCCCAAGCTGCTATTGCAAAATAAAGTAGCCCTCTCTCCTGGCATCCAAAATATGACCATCCAAAATATGTATGTGCATTATGCATCTGGGAACCATACAGAAAATATAAAAAAACTGGAAAAAGCGTGAGCAAAGCAACCTGAAGGCACATATGCCAAGAGGCAGATAAGCTTCCTTGACCCTGTTAAGTATCCCTCTAGGAGCTAGAGGGATCCCCTGGCTGGCAAAGTGTTAAGGTCAGTTAGCAGATGTGCAAGTTCAGCAGCAGGGTGAGGAGGCCACTCTGCCCAACAAAATCCTAATCCCAAAAACAATTATGGTGGTAGAAAGCCAACAAGGTGTGGGCAGGGGCAGCCCAGGATGTTTTGCTGCTGTAGGCAAAATGCCCCACCACCGCCCTTGCAGATCTGGGCCCCCTCCCTGCCCCTGCCATCATGAACACAGAGTTTGGGAAGTTTAGGAAACTGCAGAATTTGTTGGGGTTTTTTAAGGCTATATTTTCTGCCATCAACAATATCAGCAGCTCTTTTTTGAACAGAATCTGGGTGGCCAACAATTAAAGCAAGAGCTTTGCTCAGTTAAAGTATATATATTTAAAAATACTACTATGCCTATTGAGTGTTTTCCTGCTCTGTGCTATATGGAAATGGGCAATAACCAACTCTGGGAAGCAGCTTATCAAGATGTTTTAGACTATTATCATTTTCCAGAACTGAGCTCTGTTTTGACCTTGAACAGGTGTCAACTAAGAGGTTGTCTCTTCTGGGTAGACTCCAGAAGGGACCTGCAACCCATTAGAAACACCAATTCCCACCCCCCCTTGGTATCCAATCTTGAGAATAGAGCATTTCAGAGCTAGTTAGCTGATCAAACTCACCAGCTTCCCTAAGAAATGACTTTAGTGAGCTGCGTTTCCAAAAGCTGCCCATTGCAGTCTTGGATGGCTGCTACAAGGTCCTGTATGCAGACAGACTTTGCATTTGTGGTCAACCTCAGTTGGAAGACATCACACATTATCTGTTAGTCTGCTGGAGTGAACACAGGTTTCAGAAAGCAGTATCTATATCGCTTTCTGAAGCCTTTGTTCACTCCAGCAGGCAGGCACATCCCAGCAGAAACCATCGGTTTCTTCTGAGTGATAACAATACCTTCTTGACATACAAAGGGGCACTCAATGCACTGGCTGCAAAAACAAAACCAGGAAAAAGGAGTTAGATAACATCACTATAAATTGTTGTGGCGATTCAGAAGTTCTATTTGAAATCAACCTAGATTTGGCTTTCTCAGTTTCTCTGGTAACCTCTCTTACATCATGGATGCCGGCTCATCAATGTTGGATGTTGTTTTATTGGTAAGGTTGTTGCAGGTTTACTACGGACTTTGGCTTGAATAATAAACTTATATTGTATTGCATTCCTCACCCGGGCTGCCATTGCTGATGTCTCTCACTGTTTTGGCTCCTAGAGGCAGATGCAAGGGCCGGGGGGGGGGGGGAGTTTATTACCCATGCAAATATACTTCCCACAAGAACGGAACATGTGAGGTTTCTAATACTGAAAGTGAATTTTATTATTAAGTGCTTGAAATTACAAATTCAACTTTCTGAATACACTGTAGCTGAAGATCAGATCCAACAATAGCATCCAACACAAAACAGAAAGCTGCTTTACAGGAGTAAGCTGAACGATCTACGATGCTTCCTAACGAAACAGAATCCTGAAGCCCTAATGTTTACTGCTTGATTCCAACAAATCTTTCGCTTCATTGATTTTCGTTGCCAAGTAAGGAGAGCCACCTAAATAAAGAGAAGAGAGAATAAAGTGAAGACTACATAATGCTGGATTTAACAATAAGCCTACTCTGCAGTTATGGAAAGTAAATTTCACATGTCATCTCACCAAGTTTCATTAACTTTCTAACAAGAAATTGACACAAGTATCACAATGAACCACAATCCTAAGGGCAATCAAACTGCTTTTTCTGATGGCGCAATTCTATCCATGTCTACTTGGAAGTAAATTCCATTAGAGTCCACTAGGGTTCAACTTACTCCCAGGTATAGTATAGCATTTCAGGTTAAGACACAAGACAACTGACTTTCCTAAATCTATTGACTGGCTAATGTCTCGTTTTGTTAGGCAGTGGGTTCTCTGGAATATCCACAAGCAAAAATTTGGAGTGTTGCAATTCAGAGCCTTCGCAGTGGTGGCACACCATTTGTGAAACCCTTCCCAGTGAGGCCTACCTGGTGCCAACACACTTTCAGCACCAGACAAGATGTTGTGTTTTCCCAGGCTTCTTAATAAGCTGCTTGTGTTTCATCTTAGCCGACCCAAAACTTCTGCTGAAGAGCAATATCGATATCTTTTCAATGAATGAATGAAGTGAAGCACTGATTTCTTCAAAGTCATTCCAGGCCAGTGCTGGGCTTTGAAGTCTATGTCATTGCTGAGGAACATTTAGAACCCGAGGGCCATATTCTCTCATGGGCAGCCTTTCAGGGGCCGCATGCCAGTGGTGGGCAGAGCCATGGATGAGGCTCTTCACCAGGCGCTGAAGTTCCCCACTCCTGACCTAGAGGCAAGGAAACACTGCTCTCCATCATAAGAAAGTTAGGATTGCTTTCCCAAGATCAATTCCACAAGGACAGATATATCGTTGTGCAGTAACAGCATCAAATCCTCAGACCACAGGCAGATTAAGGTACCGCACCATGTTTAATTTATTTTTGACAGCATGCTTTGAAGGAAACTCCAGCAGGAATATTTTAACGTAGAATCATTAGGTGTGCACTGCAAACATGCCCCATTTTTCAGTTAAGGCACAGGCATACCAGCCAAATGCATCACATTAATGCTGTTAGGCACAGAATACTGCCTTCTTCTTCCCCGTCCTCAACGCTGCTACTGCTTTCCAGCCCATCTAACAATCTGATTACAGTTCAGCAGCCTCGATGTTTGTTTTTTTCACTCTCCTCGAGTGCCAACCATCTGCCTCCTGCCACTGAAAATAACAACCAAAGGTCTGTTGTCAGGAGCTCACCGTGCAGCAACAAACACCTAGATGTTTTTCTGGGACAATGTGCTTTCCACTGCAGAACGTTATAAACAACCTTTTCTAAGCATCTGCTTGGAGGAATCACATACAACAGAAATTCCATCTACAGATTACTATGCTATGAGAACCCTGCACTTGGTTCCTTTCTTTTTATAGTTTTTAATCCACGTGCTGACCCCTCTGCATTTAGGGTCGGGAGGGAAGGAAGGAGCAAAGTTGTGCAATGCTACATGCATATAGGCCCCTGCATAGAATAAACACCATCTGAAGCAAGATGCCGCAGGATACATGAAACCTTGCATGGGCAAAGACATTTTGTACACCCCACATCTTGTATAACATTATGTTAGCATCAGAGAAGCAAGAAGACAAGTGGGAAAGATACAATACATTCTGCAGCACTTTCACAGCAGGAATCTGAGCATGCACACAACAAAATCCTAACATGCATACTGAAGTGAAGTCCATAGTGCCTTTAACAGGAACAGAAAAAACCCACAAATAATTAGTACATGTCGACAGGATACAGCTTCTCAAAGTGAGGTGTCTAGATCACCTTTGGTTAATGTGGGGAGGGAGAGGGGGCTAGAACATTGGGCGGATGTTGCCATACAGGTGGGCTAAGGGAAAGAAGAGAAAAACAAGTGAAAGACGAGGAAGGAAACTATGCTCTGGTGAGGTGGAAGTGGGGTATCTTGTGGGTAAAAGGAGAACCCTGAAGCCCCAAACTCTGAAGAGGGGCAGGGAGTGTTGCATTGCACATGCTCCTGATAAGGATCTCGACAAACAGGAACAGAAATACCCGGTAGATAAAAAACATATCATGGAATATGGATGTAACAGCAACAACACTTGTGATTCTTTGATACTGTATTATGTTCTCCCATCAGGAGATTTTACCGTAGTCACTAATCAATATATTTTTATCTGTGTCTAGGAGCGTGTAAATATCTACGCCAGAAACCTGCCCCAACGTTTATTCAGGTATATAATGCCTGAATACACAATATTACTCCGCCAGGGCAATGCTGTAAATTGGCTGGCCTCAAATCTCATTGCTGAAAGTGCAGTAACTGGGAGAATCCCAAGCAGATGATGTTCCTTATCTGTGTTAGCCTTGGAATCACTAAAGAGCAGCATATAGCTTACACAGCATAGAGATTATTGCCACAGCCTCTCAAAATGTCCCATGCAGGGACATATTACAACTGGCTATAATACGGCCTCCGTCAGAGGATAATAGGCATGGAGACAGAGCAAAAATACAAACTAGGCCACAGATATGAAAACATGATATGATCTACATTTGTCAGCTGTGTCTTTTCAACTCTTCTAATATTTGAATCTAATGTTATTTCACCTGTTGCGATTGCTTTTTCAAAGCAAACCTCCATTAAGGAAATTGGCATTGCGCAAGACATTGTACCTGCAGCATTCCCACGACTGCTCTTGGAGCTGCCACGGCTTCTGTTGCTGACAATGATTGATGTCTAGGAAGTTGACTGATGCCAGCAGAAGTGTCTTAGTCAAGGCCCAGCCCCTAAAAATTATCAGAATGAGCTTGACCTCCTGTGGGAAACTGGAATGGAAAAATCCCATGAAGGTCGCTTGGACAACTAAAACTTCATGCTGGGCCAAGAGATCTGTTATATGTCGAGCCCTTTTATGGTTCGGAATGATGGATGGGCTAGGTGAAACGGAAGGAAGGATTGCGCCCGGTGCTGTCTCAAAAGCATTCTGCACATGTGTATGTGGGTGCTGGGGAGCCATTAGAGTTTTGTGCTATAGCAACTCCCCCTTCACTGCAGCTGAACTGCAAACCTCTTCCCTTTGCCCGTGACTCTCCAAGGTGTTAAGCAGCAGTGTTTTGACCACAGAATTACACTTCTTTGTTTGCCTCCAAATGCGTTTTCTTCCATCATTGTCTTGTTCCTGCATCTACAGAGTAAATCCAATTTTATTGATTTATTTAATGAATAAATTACTAGTAAAAAGAGGGGCAGGAAGAAATAAGAAATGGTGTGCTCCACACCTTTCACCTTAATGAGGTCAGAATTAATTTTATACTCCTGAAATGAGAAGGAATAAACTATAAATCTGTCAACGAGATATAAAAGTCTTCACTTCCCCCCTTTTGGCTTTTTAAATACTGTGCAACTCTATACCATCTGTTGTATCAAAGTACAAACAGCAACGAACATATGGGCTTTCCTTCTCAACCAGCTGTAGTGTAGTTAAAGTTATAATAAGAGCTTTTTGGGGAGATACATACATTAAAAACCTGGCTAGTTAAAACATCTGTGCCTGGTTTTATAGTTTTTAAGAGTGCTAAAATCTAGTACATACATTTGTATGACATTCTGCTCAAAAATGTGTTTGTCTATTTATGGCTACACATACTCTGTTCATATAGACATGGATTTTTGCAGCTTCATGGTTAATGTTTCCCCTTCTTCAAAAGTGAGCTACTTCACACAGTGGTTCTTCACGCTATGTTTGACAGCTACTTAGTTTGTGATCAAGTAAATGACCCCAAAGGCAGCTATACATTCCTTCCTTTGGATCACAGAGACCGGATGCAAATCTGTCTCATACTGCAGGCAACACTTCCAAGATATGTTTTGAAATGCACTGCAGCGAATTTGTGAAGTTAGTGATTAGTGTTTTGCTTCATACACATGTGAAGAGAGAAGGTCTGGCAGCACGTTACCTATCAACTAATATTTATGAAACGCAAAGCTTACCTTTATCAGGGTGATTCAAAAGCATGATTCGTCTGTGAGCATTTCTAATCTTGGCCTTCCCAGCGGATGGACTGTAAAGATAAATTTAGAGTGTTTACCATAAATAAAGATTCTTGCGGGCTCTAAATTAGCAAAATTGTTTTCTTCTGATAAACAACATCTAGAGGTAGTTACAGGTAGGTAACTACCTGTTACCTACCTGTGTTGGTCTGCCGTAGTCGAAACAAAAAAAATAAAATCCTTCCAGTAGCACATTAAGAGACCAACTAAGTTTGTTCTTGGTATGAGCTTTCATGTGCATGCACACTTCTTGAGATATCAAAGCATCTGAAGAAGTGTGCATGCACACAAAAGCTCATACCAAAAACAACCTTAGTTGGTCTACATCAAGGGAAGTAATAGTGCCACTGTATTCTGCTCTGGTCAGACTTCACCTGGAGTACTGTGTCCAGTTCTGGGCACCACAGTTCAAGAAGGACACTGACAAACTGGAACGTGTCCAGAGGAGGGCAACCAAAATGGTCAAAGGCCTGGAAACGATGCCTTATGAGGAACGGCTAAGGGAGCTGGGCATGTTTAGCCTGGAGAAGAGGAGGTTAAGGGGTGATATGATAGCCATGTTCAAATATATAAAAGGATGTCACATAGAGGAGGGAGAAAGGTTGTTTTCTGCTGCTCCAGAGAAGCGGACACGGAGCAATGGATCCAAACTACAAGAAAGAAGATTCCACCTAAACATTAGGAAGAACTTCCTGACAGTAAGAGCTGTTTGACAGTGGAATTTGCTGCCAAGGAGTGTGGTGGAGTCTCCTTCTTTGGAGGTCTTTAAGCAGAGGCTTGACAACCATATGTCAGGAGTGCTCTGATGGTGTTTCCGGCTTGGCAGGGGGTTGGAATTGATGGCCCTTGTGGTCTCTTCCAACTCTATGATTCTATGGTCTCTAAGGTGCTACTGGAAGGATTTTTTTTCATTTTGTTTCAACATCTAGAGGTATTTGCCATCTGGTGGGGAAGCGACAGTATTACATCCTTGAAGAATGAAGTTTCAAAGTAATCCATAGCTTTGCGTTTTGGGGATCTTTTGAGAGTGGTCTACACACATTTACACGAGTATTCACCTGTGCTGATCAGTGGTACGAGACACATGCAAGCAGTGCCAACAGTCAAAACACACGGCACTGACAGAAAGTGTCTTGCTGGAGCATGAGATGGAGAAACCCCCTCCTAGTGGTGCAGCAATAAAACTGCTAGCACATTTGCAAAGCTAAGCAGGGTTTCAAATTGGATGGGGGACCGCGTGTTGAGATTCCTGCATTGCAGAGGGTTGGACCAGTCGACCCTCGGGATGCCTTCCAACTCTTACCATTCAGTGGAGAGAGTGGACTATCAAATCAGGCTGTAAGAGTACATCTTTTTCCCAACAGGTCCACCAGCGTGGGCACTACTGTGTTGCAGCAGCCCTGTTGGGAATATCCAGCCCAGAGATCTATGGAAGGGCCTCATCCCCTTTATCTGTTGTTTAGATAGCTGCTGTTTGTGGGGGGCAACTGGTGTGTCCTCTTCAGTGAGGCCATCACAAAGTTTACTCCAATCTGTTTCTCAGAGCTCATGTTTGCGGAACAGTAGCCTGGCTGGGGAGGCGGGTGGCGCTGTGGGTTAAACCACAGAGCCTAGGACTTGCCGATCAGAAGGTCGGTGGTTCGAATCCCCGCGAGGCGGTGAGCGCCCGTTGCTCGGTCCCTGCTCCTGCCAACCTAGCAGTTCGAAAGCACCTCAAAGTGCAAGTAGATAAATAGGTACCACTCCGGCGGGAAGGTAAACGGCATTTCCGTGTGCTGCTCTGGTTTGCCAGAAGCGGCTTAGTCATGCTGGCCACATGACTCGGAAGCTGTACGCTGGCTCCCTCGGCCAATAAAGCGAGATGAGCGCTGCAGCCCTAGAGTGGGTCACAACCTGCCTTGTGAATTTCAGGGAAAATCCTTTACCTTTAGCCTGGCTGGGAGTAGGGCTGACGCCCACAAATCCAGGTCTACATGGCTGGTGTGAGGGAGACTGAGCGCTTGTTATAATGTAGTTCCGCTTGTAGGCATTGGGCCGTGTAGTTTAATGAACTGAGCAGAGTGAAGAATCATGGGCTTGGGGGAGGAAATTGGGAGGCTGCTTAGCAGGGCTGGCCTATCAGGTAAAATATTGAAGGGTGGGAGGGGGAGGGAATGGGTCACATGGGCTGCTGGGGGGGGGGGGAGGGAGGAAATGTCCCCAAATGACTGGTTGACCCATACAGAGGTTACACACTCAGTCTACACAGGATTCCTTCTGACTAGCTCACGTGCACAAAGCATAGATTTTAAGTCATCCATGTTCTGAATCATGTAGAATTAAACATGTGCAAAACTGCAGAAGTATAACTGAATGCGCCACTTAAAACTGTTTTTAATACGGGAGAATTAGTACCCAAATTTGCTAATTTCCCCCTTCCATCTTCATCCTTTCTGTACTGTTCAATTTAGTATAAGCCACTTTTTTTATTTTGTAAGCTATTTTGAATTTATTGGCAGAAGTATACAAGTATATAAAGGTAAATAAATACCAATAGTTCTTTCAACACAGCAAACTGGGTAATTTTTGCAGGCCACTTCTTTTAGTGCTTTTTATCCTTAATAAAACTACTGGATAAGATGGGTCTACCCCACATTTCACACCACTTTTCTTTCAGGCTTTGGCACTGAATAGATTCTGTTTCAATGCAAAACACTTACCTTGTGCCTAGAATAAGACTAGCTTCTCGATGATTCATTTTCTGTTCGAATCCGCCTTTATAATAGGAAGAAAGATTCTGCATGGGAGAGACAAGATGAAGTAATTTGATCTGTGTGTGAGGTATAATGACCTTGATTCAATTCTGCAACTAGGGCAAAAAGTAGCAGCTAGGCAACTCAACATTTTGTCATGCGGCAGTCGCACGGCATTGCTCTCAAACGAGCTGCACTGCCTACCAATAACCGACTGGGCCAAGTTTAAGGTTTTGGTCCTCACCTGTAAAGCCCTAACACAGGCATAGGCAACCTCGGCCCTCCAGATGTATTAGGACTACAACTCCCATGATCCCTAGCTAACAGGACCAGTGGTCAGGGATGATGGGAATTGTAGTCCCAAAAACATCTGGAGGGCTGAGGTTGCCTATGCCTGCCCTAACAGTTTGGGAGCAGGTGATGTAAGGGAGCATCTTCACCTCTCTTGCCCTATTCAAGTGTTACAATCAGTTGAGGAGGCATCCAGAGGAAGAGGCTTTTCGGTGATGGCACCCTTCTTAATAAATCACCTCCCCTCTGAGCTCAGGCAGGTGCCAACACTGATGAAGTTTTGATGCCTACTAAGAATATATCTATGTCCCCAGGACTTTACAAGTGTTTAATTCCAACAGACTGTTTATGTTTCAACTCTGCCCTGTGTATATTGATTTTAATGTGAATAGTACATTTTATAAATGTGTTGTTACTCTGCCTCCAGACTGATGTGGCAAGTGGTATGGAATCTAGTTAGAAGGGACCCTGAGAGTCAACTGGTCCAACCCCTGCAATGCAGGAATCTCAACTAAAGCATCTCTGACAGATGGCCATCCAACCTCTGCTTTAAAAAGATCAGATTTGGTTTTGAAATATGATCAATGGAACAAGACTTTTGCTGTTGCTAGAGGAGATAAAATCATATTGTATCTACTGTAAAGTAGTCATATTTGACACAATAGCTGAGAGAAAAAAGTAAGTCATAAGGTCTCTTTGTAGTTTTCAAAAATGATTCTTAACTCCTAAGTCCTAAAGTATTAGTAGGGTGCTCTTTCCTACGTTTTGTGTGATTCTGAATATATTGAACTTCTATTTAAAGCTGTAGCTTTAATATTGATCAAAGTCCCTTTGAATCTAATTTCATTTGCATCGAGGGATCAAAAGATTTCCTCCAAGCGAACTAGTTGATCTGGAACCTGATTTATACAACTAAACTGAGTAAAACTGGAAATTGGAAGGATGCACTTATTTGCTCTGTAGAAATGCGTAGGAATTACGCATAGTAATGGTTTACTATCTCAAGCCATTATTTGAATGCACAATTTTAAAAAAGATGTGATTGGCAAGACCTAGGGAAAACATGTGTGCACAGAACCAAAAGAAGGGGGGAAAGTTAATATGGAAGACATGAAATGGATAGTTGAACTAAAATGTTATTTTTCTTAATTCTGCTTTTTACGCCTGTCCTCTTGCCTTTTCTAAACAAGCTTCTTAAAATTGGCTATTGCCTGCAAGACTCAAGGAGATACTGTCATCTGCCCTAGACCCTTTGGCTCAATGCTACATGAGGTATAAGTGGGATTTGACAGAAGAAAGCTAACTACTTTGGATTCTAGTGAAGGACAAGTAGGCTGGCTGCTTGCCTTGCACCCTCAGGTTTCACTTCCACCCAGGACTGGAATAAATGTAAAGGAAATGTGGTAACCATATACCTGAGAGTCCCTTGACTGCCCAGACTTACAGCCATGGTGGGACAGGAAGTGAATGAGTCCCTGTTCTGTTATTGTAGTCATCACCTAGTTGGGTCAGGGTTAGGTATACTTATCCTGCAACGTTATCTCTGTCTCTCTCAAGCTTATAATCTCACCAGAGAGACCTGAGCTCTAAACTTACAGCGGCTGAAATTTTCCTTGCTGTTTCCGTGATTACTTGTTCTAGTGGTTTCCAGAGCTGGAATGCATAACGACCTATAAAATATTGAAACAAAAGGCAATTTAACATCTGTTCATCTGCTAAGCAAGCATGCAGCAACAGTAATTTCTGCAAGAAAACAGAGAAGAATCCAATTTTTCATCTCATTTGTCTGAAGGTCCAAATTGTTGCCCTTTCCTGATTCAAAACGTTCCCTGAGTGGCTGCTTTTGGAGGCAAGCCCAGCAATGCACCACGATGAGCTGGCAGGCACATCTCCCATTTATAGCATCACCAGGAAAGCTGTCTTTTAAGAGAATCATTAGGAATAGCAAAATTCTTATGTTAATAAGCAAGTCTTTTATAAACCTGCCTTGTGAATTTCAGGGGAAATCTTTCTACTCAGATTTATTTCCTTGGTTGGGAAGCCTCCTGCTTAGGACACTGGAGAGACACTGCTAGCTAGAGTAAGCAATCCAGGGCCCAGCAGGCCCATTATAAATATATAAAATATAAAATATTACAATATAAAAAGAAGTTCAAGTCCTTTTCTCATTAAAACACATTCCATTACTATTCAGTTTGTCTTAAGAAATGCAGTAATGGGTGACACATTTGTTTCTAAACACACACACACACACACACACACACAATGTCTCCCCCCCCCCCAACTTACCAGCAAAAGCAATGGCTGCAACACCAAGGCCAATACTTATCATAGATCGAGCCTGTTTAAAATAATAACATAATAGAATTATATAGGAATGTATTAAGTTGGAACTAGTCAAGCTGGCAATACATATAACAAACAGTGGAGGAAAATTCAAAAGGAGTCCAAGTAATTTTAAATATTGACACCAGATTTATAGGTGTCAATATTTAGTATTTTAATATGTTATACTTAATAGGTTTTCTAAGGCACAGTACATACAGCCCTGCCCACAGCTCACTAGGCAACTTCCTTTCCTTTCCCCACAAAATCTTCCCTGCAGCACTATCTCAAGCCTGATGTAACTGGATTTTCCGCAGACTGAGCCACACCTCTCACTTCCAGCCACTGTTAGAAATTTCCCAGGCGCCAGGCGCTTTTTGCGACTGACAAGGGTCCAACTGGGACTACATGGAGATCTCTGGTTGCTAGGTTGGTGACAGACATCTCCCTCTGGCTGGCCTCTCCAGCTTTCTTTCTTTTTTTTTTAAATGATATTTATTAAAGTTTCACAAAGAAAGAATCACATCAACAAAAAAAGAAAAATTCAAGAATAGAAAGAAAAATACACAATGCAAAATGCAAAATACAAAATACAAAAAAGAAAAGAAAAGAAAAAACAGTTAAAAACAATTCCCTCTTTTCATCACTACTTTTACATTTACTTGTTTCCCGGACCTCCTCATACCTCCCTCTTTTGTATTCCAATTCAATTTGTTAGTCCAGCAATTCCTTTCCCTCCTTTTTAATCCCAATCCTTAATCTTAATACAGTATAACATTAAATTTTTACCTATTAAAAACCAATTTTTCCATTCTTTTAACCTTTTTAATCCTAATCCTTAATCTTGATATATTTATAACTTTAAAGCCTGTACAGCTAGAAGCCACTTAATTTCAATCCAACATCACTCTAACATTCATTCCTCTCCAGCTTTCTTAAGTAGGTCAGCAGCAGAGTTTATTTATTGCATTTATATCCCACCTTTTTCTCCAAGGAATACAGTGGTACCTCGGGTACATACGCTTCAGGTTACAGACTCCGCTAACTCAGAAATAGTACTTCAGGTTAAGAACTTTGCTTCAGGATAAGAACACAAATCGGGCTCTGGCGGCGCGGCGGCAGCAGGAGGCCCCATTAGCTAAAGTGGTGCTTCAGGTTAAGAACAGTTTCAGGTTAATTCATTATTATAATTATATTTTTATATAATAATATATAATTATTATATTTAAGAATATATAATTATTATATTTAATAATATTAGATTTAATATTATTAAATTAATTTATTTTAAATTAAATTAAATTATTAAATTAAATTAAATTATTAAATTAAATAATAATAATAATAATAATAATATAATTATTATAATTATAATTCAGGTTAATCCGACCTCCGGAACAAATTAAGTAGGCTAAGAGGTTGCTACTGACTCCAAGGCATAGCTGTCAACTTTTCCCTCTTTTAAAGGGAAATTCCCATATTCCGAATAGGATTCCTCGCAAGAGAAGGGAAAAGTTGACAACTATGCTCTAAGGTCACCCAGTGAGCTTCATGACAGAATGGGGTTTGAACCCTGATCTCCTCGTCAGACACTCTCACCGCTACACCTCCTGGCTCCCTGTAGTCCTTCTGCTATGGAGCAGCTATATAAACTGAGCAGTTAATAAATATGGGGAAAGCAAAATGTCACTTTGTGAAAGATCTGAAATATTTCCCTTGAAGCTTGAATTTGTTTTATTCCAGATTGCTCTATTTGATGTTTTAATGTGTTGTAAACCGCTGTGATATTTTTTCTGTAAAATATAAAGCAGTATAGAAACCTAGAAACGAATGATAAATTTCACAGTTTTAAAAAAGCGCTTGGACATTACACCGTGGCAACTGCAACCTAGGTTTAAGGCACCATTTGGCAATTAGCTTATACACCTGAGTTTCTGCTTCCAGCAATTTCCATACTTTGGGAAACATGGAACCATGACGGTTTATTACCAAGATTCTACACATTTTATTTTACTTTCAGACCACTCTTCAACCTGCATATCACAAAATATAAACATTAGATTTAACAGGATTAAAAACACTGCATCCAACCATTAAAAAATAAGCAGGCTTAGGGTTGCACACATACCCAATGCCTGGGTTGATAATATGTGTTTTAAGCTGCCACTGAGAAATCATTGATGAGGGATAAAATTGTACCTCCAAAATGGTGGAACATCTACATATGAGGTGCCACCATAAAGAAGACTGTATCCTGAATCACCATAATATCAGCTATACCCATTGGTAGGATATGGCTTCGCCTGAAGATAGCAAGGCTTGGATTGGCAGATATGGGGAGAGGCATTCATGTACAGTCGTACCTTGGTTGACGAACAGAATGCATTCCGGGAGTCCATTCAACTCCTGGAACCATTCAAAAATCAAGGTGCGGTTTCCGATTGGCTGCAGGAAGTTCCTGCAGCCAATTGGAAGCCACGGAAGCTGCACCAGACATTCAGCTTCTGAAAATTGTTCAAAAACCAGAACACTCACTTCTGGTTTTCTATCATTTGGGAGCTAAAATGTTTGGCAACTAAGCCGTTCGCCAACCAAGGTATGACTGTACTTTGTTTCTCAACACACCAGCAAAAGTAATAGTTGCAACACCAACTCCAGTGGTGACAAAGTCGTTCAGGGCTTTATACATTAAGATCAACACCCTGAATTGGCCAGTGCAGCTCCTGAAGAATCCCGTTTGTTGTACTGTTCAAAGCACTTGAGAGGAAGAGGAGGGGGAAGAGGTGGAGACTACTGGAAACAGAGGCACTAGAATTTAAATCGGAAATTAAGATAAAGTATAGTTAGTCGAAATGACCCTTAAATTTCTGTCGTGGAATGTGAACGGTTTTAATGAAAAGTCCAAGAGAAATAAATTTGAGAAAATCATAAAGAAAAAAAATATTGATGTGATTTGTTGCCAGGAAACACATGTTGCCAAAAAACACAAACATATTTTAATAAATAAAAAGTTGGGAATAGAATTTATCAATACAGACTCAAAGAAAAGAGGGGTGGTAACTTATGTGAAAGAGAAATTAGAACCTAAATTAATATGTAAGGATGAGGAAGGAAGAATCCTAGGAGTACAAATCAACTACCAGGGAGAAAAACTTAATGTGGTAACGGTCTACGCGCCAAATACAAACAAGATGGAGTTTTTTAAAAAATTGGAACAAGTTTTATTAGATCTAGAGAATCACAAATTGGTCCTACTTGGAGATTTAAATGGAGTGCCAAAACCGGAATTAGATAGAAGCTCGAAAAGGAAGAACTTAAATCAAGGGAAACTTCCGAGATCATTTAATGACCTTGAGGAAAACTTAGATTTAATAGATATATGGAGATTCAGAAACCCCATGACAAAACAATTCACACATTTCTCAGAGCCGCATCAGAGTTGGAGTAGGTTGGATCAGATATGGATATCAAGAGAATTAACAATAAGAGTGTCGAAATGTGAGATACTACCCAGAACACTATCTGATCACAACCCAATAATATTACATTTAAATTGGAAGACCCAGGGTATCTACAGATGGAGAATGAACGATTATTTATAGGAAAAAGAAGAAGTGATTGATAAGGCTAAAACTACCTTAAAAGACTATTTTGATCTAAATATTAACAAGGAGACTAACATGGATATAGTTTGGGATGCCAGTAAGGCAGTGCTAAGAGGTTTTTTGATACAACAAAATAGTCAAAGAAGAAAGGCGAGAGAACAAAAAAAGGAAGAGCTAATCACTCAATTGAGAGAATGTGAAAAGAATTTGATAGAAAAACCGAGTGATGAAGGGAACAAGCAACTGTATAAGATGATACAAGCACAATATTCAACATTAATAAATCAAGAGGTAGAATGGGGAATTAAGTTAATGAAACAAAAATTTTTCGAATCTGCAAACAAAACTGGAAAGTTCCTGGTGTGGCAGTTGAGAAAAAGAAGAAAACAAAATCTTATTAATAAAATAAAAGTAGAAGAACAAATCTTGGAAGACCCTAATGAAATAAAAAAGAGCTTTCTTAAATTCTATGAAAACCTATATAAAAGAGAAGAAGAAGATGAAATAGAAATGGGAAAATATCTAGAAGAAAACAGAATCAATAGTATATCGGAAGAGGAAAGAAGTTTATTAAATAAACCCATAAAAGCAGAAGAAATTCAAGAGGCGATAAAGAGGATGAAACTGGGGAAAGCCCCAGGCCCAGATGGTTTGTCGGCCAAGTATTATAAAGTCCTAGAAGAACTTATTACACCAGTGCTATGTGAAGTAATGAATGAGATTTTAAGAGGAGGAAGAACACCAGCGTCATGGAGAGAGGCATACATTACGCTGATACCGAAACCTGACTCGGATAGGCTAAACATTAAGAATTACAGACCGATTTCACTATTGAATAATGATTACAAGATCTATGCAGATATAATGGCGACTCGACTTAAAAAATGCCTAGTTAATCTTATCCATACCGACCAGGCTGGTTTTTTACCCAATAGACAAATAAAAGACAACATAAGACATACAATAAATATTATTGAGTACTTAGAATGCAAAAATGAAATCCCTGCAGCTTTATTGTTTATTGATGCCGAAAAGGCATTCGATAACGTATCCTGGCGTTTTCTTATAAAATGTTTGGAAATGACAGGGATAGAGGGCACATTCCTGGAAGGAATAAAAGCAATTTATTCACAACAAAGTGCTAAATTAATTATTAATAATAACTTAACAGAACCCTTTGAAATCTCGAAGGGCACTAGGCAGGGGTGCCCTCTGTCACCCCTTCTGTTTATTATGATGTTAGAGATAATTACAAATAAGATAAGAAAAACTTCAGAGAGACGCGGAATAAAAATAGGAGCGAAAGAATACAAATTGAAAGCTTATGCTGATGATCTTATGTTGTCTTTGGAGGATCCAAAAGAGAGTGTCAGTAAGGTGTTAGATCTGTTAGAAGAATTTGGGAAACTATCCAGTTTTAAATTAAACAGAACAAAAACTAAAATGCTGACTAAAAATGTAGAAGAGAAGGTTAAAAACCACCTTGAATCTCAGACTGGAATTAAAGTAACCAAAAAAGTAAAATACCTTGGAATCTGGTTAACGACAAAGAACATTAATCTGATGGAAGATAATTATATAACCGCTTGGAAAGAAATAAGGAAGGACTTAGATACCTGGAACAGAATAAAGCTCTCCTGGTCGGGAAGAATGGCGGCAATAAAAATGAGTCTACTACCGAAACTGCTATTCCTATTTCAGAATATACCAATAATTAGGGGAACATCAATATTCAAGGACTGGCAGAAAATACTTTCTAAATTCATCTGGCAAGGAAAAAGGCCGAGAATTAGATTCAAATTACTTGCAGACCAAAGAGATAGGGGAGGATTCACAGTTCCCAATTTAAAATTGTATTATGAAGCCTCGTGCCTTTGTTGGGTCAAGGATTGGATTATTATAAAAAATAAAGATCTGTTAGATTTAGAAGGATTTGATTTAAGATTCGGTTGGCACGCTTACCTATGGCGTAATAAGGGAAAGATCCACAAAGGATTTTCTAACCATATCTTTAGAGGGCCACTGCTGGAGGTGTGGGAAAGAAACAAAAAATTACTGGAACGGAATACCCCTTGGTGGCTTTCGCCAATCGATATCCTGACATTAAAAAAAACAAACATCGAAGGAGAAAGATGGACCTACGAAGATTTATTAGTAAAAACAGAGACCGGTTCGAGGATTAGGCCATATGAAGAAATAAAGAACAAATTGTCAGGTTGGATCCAATTTCATCAAATCAATTCTATCTGGACCGAGGATAAAAAAAATGGGATAAGTGAGAAAAAATCTAGATTCCAGATTGAAATACTAGAAAGCAAAACAAAACTTCTAGCGAAAATGTATAGCCTGTTACTTGAATGGGACACCAAGGATGAAGAAGTAAAGGAGGTAATGGTGAGATGGGCAATGGACTTTGGGTATAACATAGAGTTTGATAAATGGCAGGCACTATGGAATAAAGGTATGAGATTCTCGGCATGTACAACACTTAGGGAAAATATGTATAAAATGATGTATAGGTGGTACGTAACGCCCGTAAAACTGGAAAAAATATATAAAACTGGTGTTAAATCATGTTGGAAGTGCAAGATTAAGGAGAGCGATTTTTATCATATGTGGTGGTTGTGCGAGCCTATTAGAAAATTCTGGGAATCTATTTACAATGAACTAAAAAAAAAATCTTTAAATATACCTTTATAAAAAGACCCGAAGCCTTTTTGCTGGGGATAATTGGAGAGGAAATCAAAAAGGAAGACCAAACACTTTTTCAGTACGTGACAGTGGCCGCCAGAACTCTAATTGCGCAGAATTGGAAGACACCAAGAATCCCAACCATAAATGAATGGCAATCTAAACTATTTGACTATCTAGAATTGGCAAAAATGACACAGAAAATAAGAAATCAAAAAGACACAAAGTTCAATAAAGACTGGAATAAATTTATGGCATACATGGAAACAGAGGTAAAAAATTTAAAAATTACAGTAGGTGTGATATAACACTTGTGATGTAAAGAATTTTTTTGAGGAAAAGAAACTGCAGATAGGAAAATCTTATAACACATTCCGAAACTGAGATGAAGGGAAGTCAGTCAGTGTTGTATGTTATGTAGTTAATGTAGTCAATCTGTTGTTGTCTTATGTCCATTTTAATTTTTTTATGTACTTTTTTTTCTTTTTTGGTGTGAATGTGTTATGTATGTTTTTTGTTTGTTTGTATGATGTTACAAAATGAATTAAAACCAATTAAAACAAAAACAAAAACACATGTGGCTGCATTCTGCAACAGCTGCAGCTTCCAGACCCTATTCTAAGATAGCTCCACATAAGACTGTGTTAAGTGTCATCTAGCTGGGAGGTTATTAAACCATGAATAACTGCAGCCACGTTACTCTAGTCCAGGAAGGGCTCTAGCTGGCAAGCCTGATCCAGCAAGAAATAGGCCCTTCATCACCAAATCCATCTGGGCCTCAAATAACAAAGCCTCCCATTTTCAAGTTCAGTCCTGTTATTTCAACAGGAGCACAACTCTATCAAGAACACTGTATTACCGCAATGCAGTGTGCTCTATATGGGGCTGCCCTTGAGGCTACTGCAAAATTCAACAGCTTGACTGCTCACTGGGGCAGTATACAGTGGTACCTCGGGTTAAGAACTTAATTCGTTCTGGAGGTCTGTTCGTAACCTGAAACTGTTCTTAACCTGAAGCACCACTTTAGCTAATGGGGCCTCCCGCTGCCGTTGCGCTGCCGCCGCACGATTTCTGTTTTCATCCTGAAGCAAAGTTCTTAACCCGAGGTAATATTTCCGGGTTAGCGGAGTCCGTAACCTGAAGCGTACGTAACCCAAGGTACCACTGTATCACCATCGTATTATGGTGCTACTGACATAATTGCTTTGGCTGTCCATTCTCTACCAGACTAGTTTCAAGGTGCTGTTATTGGCATACAAAGCCCTACATGGCCCATGACCATGATAATATCTACAAGATGGGTTGACTATGTAGGGGGTAAGACCATCACCACATTCCACAGGAGAGGAGACCCTGTAGTTCCAACCCATTAGGAGCGCCATTGCACTCAATTGCACACAATGTTGGAACGGGACCTTTAGTGCAGCCGCAACCACCTTTTGGCACTGCTAAAGACATTCCTCTTTCAACCAGCCTTCTAAATGAAGATCTTTTCCCTAGTTGCTGTCTGCACTGGATTTGAAGCGATTTTACATATGTGCTGTTATTTTAAACTGTATCAATTGTTTTTTAAAATTGCTCTTATATGCAGTTGACCCACCATCAAAGGCAAAATCTTGCAAAGTCAGGAATCCTCAGAACTTAAAGGTCTACTGCCAGTAAGAACTATAAAACCATTTATGTATCCCCAGTGGTGTTTCCACAAACTGCAGTATGAGAAATCTTGCTATAAACATGGATTCAATGAGAAATGCAAGGTCACATTTAAAACAATTTTTAAAGTGTTCAATGACAGCAAGAACAAGCCCAAATCCTATAGCACTATTCAATTATTTTCTTGCCATATGTCTAATTTCCACATTGCTTGCTTCTGCATAAAGAGATTTAAGGTTTTTGTATCATCCACACATACAGTTGCTGAACATTTACAGCTGCATATTCTTGCATGGCAGGGGATTGGACTAGATGATCCTAGATGATCCTCAGGGTCCCTTCCAACTCTAGAATTCTCTCTCTGATGCACTAATAATATTGATTTCACAGAAAATAAAATTGTTAAGACTTCCTTTTCCTAGTCACATGTAAATAAATAACATGTGAAACTATCAATAAAGGTACTCAGTACTGTTCTAAGCTAAAATGCAAAAGAGCTTTAAAGGTGCTGCATTTAATTTAATTGAAGTAAATTGTAACTTTTCTCTATAAACTCAATATGAAATGGTAGTAATACTTTCCAGCATACAGATCTTTAAACAGGATGAACTTAGAAATTCTAACAAACTTCATCTCACCTGTTAACGTGGCTAGACTTTATGACCCTGCATAGAGTGAATATGCTGTACTGATTCAGCGCTTGCTTTCATTCCCTAAGAAATCACATTAATATTCTTTAACACCCCAGCAGATGCACCACTTCAAGTGATTACAGTTCGCTGTTGGAATTCTTGTCATGTTTTGCCTGGTTTCAAAAACCTAACTCATCATTTTCAAGACTAATTCTTTCCACTTGTATGGCATCTTTAATCTAAACCTCTTGAAGCAGTTTACAAACATTAATTCTTACAATAAGAGACACAAGGTAATTAGATTGTTCATTTTGCTAATGGGAAAAGGCTATGTTTGTTGCCCCTGACCTCCAATCTATGCCAGAAGAAAACAGGTACTTTGTGTTAAGTGATCAAGAGGTTCATAGTATATTAGTACAAAACTAAAACAGATAACAGAAGTTGATCAGGAAGGGACTGGTGGTTGAGTGGCCCAATATGGCAGCAAGCAACTAAAGTAAATGTCATTTAGGTTTGTGACCAGCTCTATTGCTCTCTGCAATGAAAGACTGACATGCATCCCAACCCTGCAATTAAAATGTTTACATAATACACATTTTTATTCGCCTACAATCTCCAAGCCTACCATGACATTTCATTTTGATATATTCCTACCTAAATCATGCAGTCTCATTGGAGCAGTGTTAGAAACTCAGATATGTAAGCTATTTGCCAAATGGCCCCTTAAAGCTAGGTTACAGGTGCAACAAAGAAATGCCTAGTCACCATTTTTTCTTCTTCAAGATTACAAAGCAAAAAATGAATTTTGTATATTGTCAACGTTTTAATATATTTTACAATTCAGTCACACATTTTACCAATTACAGTAAAAAAAAAATTGAAATGTGAATTAATGCATAATTCACATCAGTGACACATTTTTAATATCACATTTTAAATAGCAATTGTTAGCTGGATACCACATAAATAAATGGGGCTCAGCCACAGCAATAGTGACTGTGATGGGATGAGGAGCTGCTTGTGCGTAAAATAGTATCCCCTCAGAGTTTGTTCAAGTCCACAAACCTCTGTCTGTGACGGAGCCCCTCAGACATGGCTCCTCTAGTCACTAGCAGATTCCGACAGTGGTTGCTTTCGGAATCGCTTCCAACATAAAAGCTCCTTAACGGAAACACGTCTTCTGGACTCTCTGCGTGACAGTTTCCGGCGAGGAGTGGGTGTTCCTACAGGAGGTCCTGAAACCTCCCCACTGTTTTCGCTGGAAGTGTCTCTGAGCCATCCCTCCAGCTCACTTTCCCTCAGCTCAGCTCCTCTCCCCCTACTGGTTCCCTCTTCAGCTGCTGAGTCTCTCCCAACCTGTGTGAGCCCTTTCACCTCCCTTCCTTCCGATGGCAGTTCCCTGACATCCACCTCCCCTCCAGGACCCCTTTCACCCCCTCTCGCCCCCTCCTCTACGGGCGGTGAGGAGGCAAAACCCCGGAATGAACTTCCTTCATCTTCCGATGTCTCGAACACTTCTCTCCACCTGTTGCGGTTCCTGGTCTCGAAGTACTCCTCCTCCTCAGAGTCCATCTCCCCTCCCCCTTCCGAGTCCGGGAATCCTTCCAACTCCTCCTCCTCATCAGTGGTCCCAAAGTATTCCCTCCGGAACCTCTCCACAGGCTGAGGTTTCCTTGGGAACCTTTGATGGAACGTTTCTATCAATACCTCGTCATTGATATCTTCGGCCATTACCCAAGTGTTTTCTGACTCCGGTTCTCCTTCCCACGCTACCAAATACTCCACCTGATCCCCCTTCCACCTGGCGTCGAGGATTTCTGCCACATGGCTGCTGCATTCTCTTTCTTCTATGACCGGGCCCCGAGTGGCCATCCCTTCTCGTCCCCCTTCGTACGGTGACAGTAACGACCTGTGAAATACTGGGTGCAGTTTCATGTGGTTGGGTAACCGGAGCCTGAAAGCCACTGGGTTGACCTGTTGAATGACCTCAAAGGGACCCAACCTCCTGGGTCTTAATTTCTTACAACCTCCTTTGAACGGCAACCCTTGGGTTGACAGCCACACCCTATCTCCCACCCTTATGGTTTCACCTTCCCTTCGGTTCTTGTCTGCCTGCCTCTTGTATTCTTCCTTCGCCCTTTCTAAGTTGAGTTGGAGCTGACGATGGATTGCTTCCATTTCTTCCACAAAATGCTCGGCTGCCGGGACGCTCCATCTCTCCCCATCTCCCCTGGGAAAGCCCTGGGATGACACCCATAATTAGCCAAGAAGGGGCTCATCCCTGTGGACACATTCTCGGCATTGTTGTAGGCAAATTCCGCCAGCGCCAACTTTTCTACCCAGTCATTCTCTCTGTCATTGACATAACACCTCAGGTATTGCTGGAGGACACCGTTTGCTCTTTCCGCCTGCCCGTTGGTTTCAGGGTGCCGGGCAGTCGAAAAATTGACCTCCACCTGCAGTAAGCTCATGAGCTTCCTCCAGAACCTGGAAGTAAATTGTTTTCCTCGGTCTGAGACCACCCTCAATGGCACCCCGTGCAACCTAAAAATGTGTTCTACAAATAACTTCGCTGTCTCTTCCGCCGTGACTGCATGCGAGCAAGCTACAAAGTGGCACATCTTTGTTAGTAGGTCTACCACCACCATGATGGCTGTTTTCCCTTTGGACTTCGGCAGATCAGTCATAAAATCTATCGACACTGCCTCCCAAGGTCGTTCTGGGGTTGGTAAGGGTTCTAATAGCCCCGCCGGCGCCCGCCTTTCCCTTTGGCTCGCTGGCATTGCTCGCACCCTCTTACATACTCACGTACATCTTCCCTCACCTTAGGCCACCAAAATTCCCTGGTGACCAACCACATGGTTTTGTGTTGTCCAAAATGCCCCGCCGTAGGGCTGTCGTGCAACTGCTTGAGTACCCTCCCCATTAACTCTCCTTCAGGGATATACAGTGCCCCTTTGTAATACAAAGCTCCATTTCTTTCCTCGAAACCCCCTGGTTCCTCTCCCTCTCCCCTAAGACCTCTGAGCTTATTCTGGGCGTATTCATCATTCTCTGTTTCCTCTACCAGTTCTCTTTGTCCCACCAATGCCGCCCCACACACCCAGCGGTCCTCTGGAATGACATGTCTCTCTTCGGGTGCTCCCTCCCCTCCAAATATTCAGGTTTGCGTGAGAGAGCGTCCGCCCTAATGTTCTCTGGGCCTGGCACGTAACCAATCTCAAAGTTAAATTTGGAGAACTCCTGGGCCCATCTCACTTGCCGTTGGTTGAGCACTCGTGCCGTCCTCCAATACTCTAGGTTCTTGTGGTCAGTGCACACTTGCACCTTATGTTGTGCGCCAATTAGCAGGTGCCTCCATCTCCGGAACGCCTCATGAATGGCTAGTAGTTCTCGGTCATACACCGTGTAGTTCCTCTCGGATTTGTTCAGCTTTCGCGAAAAGGCACACGGTCTCCACTCTGACTCCTCCTTCCCTGGCTGCAGAAGCACCGCCCCAATCGCTCTGTCTGATGCGTCAGTTTCCACTCTCATCGGTTTTTGTAAATCCACATGCAGGAGTTGTTGTTCCGAGGCGAAGGCCCTTTTAGTTCCTCAAATGCTCGCTCCGCCTCCTCAGTCCAAACGAACTTCTTCTTACTGCTGAGACAGTCCGTAATGGGCGCCGTCAGGTGGGCAAAGTTTCGGATGAACTTACGATAGAAGTTCCCAAATCCTAGGAACCTCTGCACATCCTTCCTTGTTTTGGGTGTTTTCCATTCCAGCACCGCCTGGACCTTGCCGGGATCCATGGCCAATCCCTTGTCTGACAGGCGATACCCCAGGAATTCCACCTCCTTGGTATGAAACTGACACTTCTCCAGTTTCACCCACAGCTGGTTGGCTTGCAGCCTGCTCAACACTTCTCTGACGTCTTTCACATGCTGCTCCTCATTCTCAGAATACACCAACACGTCGTCTAAGAAGGCCACACAATTCTTGTAAAGCAAAGGCCCCAGGACGTGGTTCATAAACGATTGAAAGCATGCGGAGCCTGCTTGTAGGCCGAAGGGCATAACCAAATATTCAAATGCCCCTAAAGGGGTGAACATGGTGGTTTTCCATTCATCCCCCTTCCTTATTCGTATCAGGTTGTACGCCCCCCTTAGGTCCAGCTTTGTGAAAATCTTTCCCTTCCGCACCCTTGTCAAAATGTCGTCAATCCTGGGCATAGGGAAGGCCACTGGTTCTGACACTGCATTTAAGGCCCTGAAGTCACACACCAGCCTCGGCTTGTTCGTGTTTTTCTTATCCACAAAAAACACTGGGCTGCCTCCCACCGCCCTGGACTCTCTGATGAACCCTCTCTTCAGGTTCTTGTCAATGAACTCTCTTAGCTCCTGCATCTCTCTGTCTGACATGGCGTACAGCTTGCCTACAGGGAGCTGTGCCCCAGGGAGTAAATTGATTTGACAGTCAAAGGGTCTATGCGGGGGTAGTTGGTCAGCTTCCCTTTCGCTGAAGACGTCGCGGAGATCTGCGTATTGTCGTGGTACCTTCACGTTCTCCGTTACTTCAGTCCCTGCTAGGGTGGCTTGGGCCCCTGCCAAACCCTTTCCCTCTTTGCAGTGTTCTAAGCAATGTGCTGAACCAAAAGAAACCACTCTCTGATGCCAGCCCACCAGCGGATCATGTAACGCTAGCCAGCTCATCCCCAATATAATGGGAGCTCCTCCCAAGGTGGCCACATTAAACGCTATCAGTTCGGGTGTGCCTTGCCACCTTCATTATCATTGGGACGGTCTGCAAGCTGACTTCTCCTCCCAACAGCTCCCTGCCATCGATCGTGGTCACCTGCAGGGGGTTGCTTAAAGGGATCGTCTGTATCTGGTGTTCAGCTGCAAACTCTTTGCTCATGAAATTGCAGGAGCTGCCTGAGTCCAACAGCGCCTTTATCTTTAGAGGGTGTCCGTTTGGCAGCTCTAGCGCCACTTCTATCACTAGGGCGGGTTTAGGAGGTTCTGGCGTGGGCACTCTCACTGCTCTTTGGCCTGGCTGCTGTGCCCCGACGGTGGCAGCCAGGCGTTGGCTTTTACTTGCTCCGCTTAAAATTAATCAACACCTGCACTCTCCAGATCTATTGGTTCTGAGAGACCAGTGTCTTTTACCTAACTCTGATCCTTTTTCACTATATCAGCGGGTCTCAGAGTCCCTTTTCCCATTTCTTATAAACACCAGGCCTCCCATACAACATAACAAATCGGGGGGCCTGGTTTGACAAAGACTGCCGGAAGCTAAGATCCCTGCTTAGGAAACAACAAAATAAGGTAAAACAGGAGAGGACATTGTCATCTATGGTAAATTTCCACAGATGGCGCTCTCACTATAAATACACCTTAAAACTCAAGAAATCCCTTTACAGGAAGAAACAATGGGAGGCACTTGATATGGCGATTAAATCGCGAGACGATAGAAAATTCTGGGCAATAGTAGCACAGGGAGTCTCATCCAAAGGAAAAATTGTAAACAGCAGTATTCCATCCGATGTGTGGTATCAACATTTTCTCAAGCTATACACACTCTCAAATACTGCTAATTTGAGTCCGCTCCTCCCATTGAAGAATGAGCATCTAGTTAGTTGGGATCCTGTTACGGAATCAGAGTGCCTACAGCTAATTAAAACTTAAAAAATGGCAAAGCTCCTGGCGAGGACATGATCCCCCTGAGGTTTTTAAATTAAATGCCCAATGGTGGGCCATCTTTTGGCCAAACTTTTACGGCAATGAACAACACATGTAAAATCCCAGCAAATTGGAAACTAAGTGTGGTAGTCCCTATCTATAAGAAGGGAGACATTCAAGATCCAGCAAACTACCGCCCTATAAGCCTTCTGGACATCGCATACAAACTCTATACCCGGTACCTATTAAACAAGCTGGTAGATTGGGCGGACCATTCTAACCTGTTCAACCAGGAACAGGCAGGATTTAGAAAGGGCCACAATACGATAGGTCACTGTATGGTACTACAGACCCTGGTAGCTAAATATGCAAAAGCGTATAAGAGCAGACTCTTTGTGGCCTTCGTACTTGCTCCGGTATTTCTTCCTCTCTTCCCTCCACAGCTCCTACCATCCCTTGCCATTCCTTCCTCTGGGGGCAGACTCTGGCAAAGTGACCTGGCTGTTGGCAGAGATAGCATTTCCGGGCGCGTTTTCCCTCCTTCTGTCCCCCCTCACTGGGCTTTGAAACTGCGCGCGCGCGCGCTGTTCCGATTTCCATCGGCTCTGCCGGCGGGAAAGTTGGCTCTGGAATGTCTGGAATGCGGAACTCCTTCCAACGTTCCCCCTTCCCTTCCCGCCTCTCCAATGCTCTCGCCTCCTGGCGCGCTCCTATGGTCAGCGCTGATTTGGTCAGCTGGTCCATAGACTCCGCCCTGGGCGCCCGGGAAAGTTCGTCTTTCACAGCCGAAGAAAGCCCTTCTTCAAAGAGCATTTGAATGGGTTCCGCCGATAAGTCCCACCCCAATCTGTGAACCAGCATGGTGAACTCAGTCCAGTACTCACGGACAGATCGGCTCCCCTGTTTGCAAGCCATTAACTGTCTGCGCACCACTCCCTGTTCAATATCGATGGAAAACATCAGATCCATGGCGCGAAAGAACTTCATCGTGTCCTTTAGGACGTCACTATTCGCTGCCATCAGGGGTCTAACCCAGTCTCTCGCCCCCTTTTCAAGATGCCCAATCACGAAAGCCACTCGTGATTCCTCGTCAGGAATTCATCAAACTGCAGATTGAGGGCATATTGCATCTCTGTCCGAAAGCCATGATAGTCTTTGGGCTCCCCCCCAAACTTCTGCACCAATCCTGGCACCTTTCTGGCGAGCTGGGTGGCTTTCCCTTTTGTCTGCATCCTGAGCCCTCCTCTCCTCAAGCCTCGCCGTCTGCAGCGCTAGCTGGACCTCCAACACCCGGTACCTTTCTTCCAGGCTTGGACCCGCTCCAGCTCCTGCTTCTCCGGTTCCGGCTGGGTTGCTCATGATGCCTTCTCCTGCACAAGCTGCTTTCAAAGACTGTCGGAATGCTGTGATGGGATGAGGAGCTGCTTGTGCGTAAAATAGTATCCCCTCAGAGTTTGTTCAAGTCCACAAACCTCTGTCTGTGACGGAGCCCCTCAGACATGGCTCCTCTAGTCACTAGCAGATTCCGACAGTGGTTGCTTTCGGAATCGCTTCCAACATAAAAGCTCCTTAACGGAAACACGTCTTCTGGACTCTCTGCGTGACAGTTTCCGGCGAGGAGTGGGTGTTCCTACAGGAGGTCCTGAAACCTCCCCACTGTTTTCGCTGGAAGTGTCTCTGAGCCATCCCTCCAGCTCACTTTCCCTCAGCTCAGCTCCTCTCCCCCTACTGGTTCCCTCTTCAGCTGCTGAGTCTCTCCCAACCTGTGTGAGCCCTTTCACCTCCCTTCCTTCCGATGGCAGTTCCCTGACAGTGACCAACAATAAGTATTTATAAATACCAGTATGTATATCTATATATACTCTTAACCCAATATGTCGCAGCTTCAGCAAGTACTGCAGTCACAGTTAAATTTGCCTATTAAATCAAAATTATTGGAAGAACGGGCCTAAGAGCACAATTCTAATCATTTCTAAATAGAAATAGATGTTACTGAATTCAAAAAGGCTTACTCTCAGACAAATGGGATTGTGATTCATTATTTTTGAGCAGTCTCTCCAGCAGCATGCTTTCGATTTGCAAGATAGCAGTGGAAAACTAACTATGTAAATGTTAATTCATTTTGCAGACCTTCCTTTTAATATCCAGAATTTGAGAATCTCTTAAAACATAAAGATTAATGTAAGCCCTACCCTCCCTCTCTCCCTTGATGGCTGCCATGTCCACTAAGTAATGTTTTCTTGTAAAAATACAACTAATGGGGCTCCAGTATTAGGGATTCATCACAATAAAACAAGGAGATGCCAGACCTATGACACTGTAGCCTAAGCAAAACAAACATTTGTAGGTTACAGTTGCCTTCATCAGATGCATACAGCAGTCTGACAAAGTGGGCTGCTTAGGTCTTTAAAATAGTAAAGGTAAAGGTACCCCTGCCCATATGGGCCAGTCTTGCCAGGCTCTAGGGTTGTGTGCTCATCTCACTCTATAGGCCGGGAGCCAGCGCTGTCCGCAGACACTGGTCACGTGGCCAGCGTGACAAGCTGCATCTGGAGAGCCAGCGCAGCACACGGAACGCCGTTTACCTTCCCGCTGGTAAGCGGTCCCTATTTATCTACTTGCACCCGGGGGTGCTTTTGAACTGCTAGGTTGGCAGGCGCTGGGACCGAACGACAGGAGCGCACCCCGCCGCGGGATTCGAACCGCCGACCATGCGATCGGCAAGTCCTAGGCGCTGAGGTTTTACCCACAGCGCCACCCGCGTCTTTAAAATGCCATAGTATTAATTTGCAAGAAAGGGTGGTATACAAACTTAATATAAATGTATATAATGTAATATAACATGACTATCCCTCAAAATGCCCATTTTGTATTTACGCTTTTCCATCAGCTTATCAGCTGTGACAGAAAGGTATGTAACATGTTCTAGGTAACTTTCTGGGTATAGGAATGCCATCTTTTTCCTGGCGAACACCTGCGGCTGCAGCATATGTAGATCAGGTAGAAATTCAACTGGTGATGCTTATTTTATCACCATATGTCTGAAATGGGGAGGTTCCAGCAATCTGACCTCTGCCTGTCATCAAGCTGTCATAAGTCCTGTACAGAAATCCTGTCATTAAAAAGTTGTAACTGGGTAGGAGCTTGTTTCTCAAATAAGAACAAAACCAGTTGCTTTAATATATTTAACTATGTTAAATGTGTAGGAGGAAGAAAACAGAAGTGCAAAACTGGACTGCAGAATAGAAGAACTGGCTTCAGAAATGGGTTGGGCAGGTGAAAGCAAGCTTAGTAACTGAATGGTGTAAAAGGCAAAATATTTGTATGACAAACCAGAGGGTTGGTGCTGTGGTATATTTATTGTAATTAACTGTTTTAATAGATCATATAGATATGTTGTTCTACTTATATTTTTGTTTAATTGCTTTCTAATGATTGCTTCGCCCCCCCCCCATTTTTAGCTGTTTCTATTTTATCTGTAAGTCACTCTATCGGGGGGGGGGGGAGCAGGATATAAACATATAACAAAACTTACATCTATCTGGCCACTGGAGCAAATACTGAAGCCTCACAAGCCAATCCTGTTAAGAACCAGTGCTATATATCTCTAGCTAACAAAGCGAAAGAACATTTCCACTTTTCTTCTCGCCTATCTGCACAAATCAGTGTGCCCAGTGGCACGATGGGTTGACAGGCGTAAGCACCCTATAGAAATACTCTTTTATGTTTTCATGAAGTCGTGGAAATTCGCATAAGGAACTGCCAACACCAGAAACCCCAAGTGGGGAAAGTGCCTAGATGCTTGCAATGCTCATTGGCCAGAATTGGGTGGCGAAGTTGGGAAGAACACCCCCCCCCAAAAAATTCCCCCCTAGCACCAGTTTGAGCGTAGGGCAGGGGTAGGCAACCTAAGGCCCAGGGGCCAGATGCGGCCCAATCGCCTTCTCAATCCGGTTCGCGGACGGTCCGGGAATCAGCGTGTTTTTACATGAGTAGAATATGTGCTTTTATTTCATTTTTTAAAAAATGATATTTATTAAAATTTCAGAAGAAAAAGATTACATTAATAAGAAAAATAACAATAAAGAAAGAAAAATACAAAATACAAAAAAGAAAAAAACAGTTAAAAACAATTCCATCTTTTCATCACTTCTCTTACGTTTACTTGTTTCCCGGACCTCCTCATACCTCCCTCTTTTGTATTCCAATTCAATTTGTTAGTCCAGCAATTCCTTTCCCTCCTTTTTAATCCTGATCTTTAATCTTGATATATTATAACGTTAAATTTTTACGTATTAAAAACCAATTTTTCCATATTCTTTTATACCAGTACAGCCAGAAACCACTTAACTTCAATCCAACATCATTCTAACATTCATTAATTTTGCAATATTTCTGTAAATAGTCTTTAAATTTCTTCCAATCTTCTTCCACCGACTCTTCTCCCTGGTCTCGGATTCTGCCAGTCATTTCCGCCAAGAATATGTGCTTTTATTTCAAATGCATCTCTGGGTTATTTTGGGGGCATAGGAATTCGTTCATCCCCCCCCCCCCCCAAAAAAAAATACAGACCGGCCCCCGACATGGTCTGAGGGACAGTGGACTGGCCCACGGCTGAAAAAGGTTGCTGACCCCTGGAATAAGCAATGGTCAGCAGCTGCAAGAGACGAGCCCCGAATGTTGGTGCTTGATAGGTATGTGAGCACAAGTGACTATGAGAGCGCATGTGAGAGAAGGGCTCTCCTAGCGTCCTCCCCTCAGACTTCTTTCCCCTGTTGAGCGAGAACATAGAGCAACGGAGACAACTGTGTGGGAAGTTGCTATGGCACTCTCTGTGCAGTGGTTGTTTGTGCTGCTCAGACTGTCTTCCTGCAATACCAAAAGCACCATGACTGTGTCCTCCGCGCCATGCCGCTTGTTCTGCTGGGCTCCTGTACCTTTTTTAAGCTGCAGCGTGCAAATCAACTAACATTTTGCTTGTTTTCCGATTCGATCTCTCTGTAGCTCATCTCAGCCATCTTCCAGGTAGGCTTCTCCACGAATGACTTGTCCACTACCACATCCCAGCAGGGCTCAGGGTCTGCTCTCAGCCCCTCTGAGCTTCCGCAAGGGCAGATGCCAGCCTCCCTCACACTGCAGGCATAATGGACACACACCACCCCAACCTCCAAGCAGGGCAAGATTCCAGGACTTCCAGGCACATACCCAGGGTTTGCGTTCCCCTTGGAATTGGGGATAGTGGAGTAGAATGCGTACAGTGGTACCTCAGGTTAAGTAGCTAATTCGTTCCGGAGGTCCGTTCTTAACCTGAAACTGTTCTTAACCTGAAGCACCACTTTAGCTAATGGGGCCTCCTGCTGCTGCCACACCGCCGGAGCCCGATTTCTGTTCTCATCCTGAAGCAAAGTTCTTAACCTGAAGCACTATTTCTGGGTTAGCAGAGTCTGTAACCTGAAGCATATGTAACCTGAAGTACCACTGTACTTTTATTCAAAATGCATCTGCGGGTTATTTGTCGGGCACAGGAATTTGTTCATTATTTATTTTTCTTCAAAAAATAGTCTGGCCCACCACATGGTCTGAGGGACGGTGGGCCGGCCCACAGCTGATAATGGTTGCTGACCCCTGAAATAAGCAATGGTCAGCAGCTGCAAGAGACGAGCCCCGAATGTTGGTGCTTGATAGGTATGTGAGCACAAGTGACTATGAGAGCGCATGTGAGAGAAGGGCTCTCCTAGTGTCCTCCCCTCAGACTTCCTTTCCCCTGTTGAGCGAGAACATAGAGCAACGGAGACAACTGTGTGGGAAGTTGCTATGGCACTCCCTGTGCAGTGGTTGTTTGTGCTGCTCAGACTGTCTTCCTGCAATACCAAAAGCACCATGACTGTGTCCTCCGCGCCATGCCGCTTGTTCTGCTGGGCTCCTGTACCTTTTTTAAGCTGCAGGGTGCAAATCAACTAACATTTTGCTTGCTTTCCGATTCACTCTCTCTGTAGCTCATCTCAGCCATCTTCCAGGTAGGCTTCTCCACGAATGACTTGTCCACTACCACATCCCGGCAGGGCTCAGGGTCTGCTCTCAGCCCCTCTGAGCTTCCGCAAGGGCAGATGCCAGCCTCCCTCACACTGCAGGCATAATGGACACACACCACCCCAACCTCCAAGCAGGGCAAGATTCCAGGACTTCCAGGCACATACCTAAGGTTTGCATTCCCCTTGGAATTGGGGACAGTGGAGTAGAATGCGTACAGTGGTACCTCAGGTTAAGTACCTAATTTGTTCCGGAGGTCCGTTCTTAACCTGAAACTGTTCTTAACCTGAAGCACCACTTTAGCTAATGGGGCCTCCTGCTGCTGCCACACCGCCGGAGCCCGATTTCTGTTCTCATCCTGAAGCAAAGTTCTTAACCTGAAGCACTATTTCTGGGTTAGCAGAGTCTGTAACCTGAAGCATATGTAACCTGAGGTACCACTGTACTTTTATTCAAAATGCATCTGCGGGTTATTTGTGGGGCACAGGAATTCGTTCATTATTTATTTTTCTTCAAAATATAGTCTGGCCCACCACATGGTCTGAGGGACGGTGGGCCGGCCCACAGCTGAAAAAGGTTGCTGACCCCTGGAATAAGCAATGGTCAGCAGCTGCAAGAGACGAGCCCCGAATGTTGGTGCTTGATAGGTATGTGAGCACAAGTGACTATGAGAGCGCATGTGAGAGAAGGGCTCTCCTAGCATCCTCCCCTCAGACTCCTTTCCCCTGTTGAGCGAGAACATAGAGCAACGGAGACAACTGTGTGGGAAGTTGCTATGGCACTCCCTGTGCAGTGGTTGTTTGTGCTGCTCAGACTGTCTTCCTGCAATACCAAAAGCACCATGACTGTGTCCTCCGCGCCATGCCGCTTGTTCTGCTGGGCTCCTGTACCTTTTTTAAGCTGCAGGGTGCAAATCAACTAACATTTTGCTTGCTTTCCGATTCGATCTCTCTGTAGCTCATCTCAGCCATCTTCCAGGTAGGCTTCTCCACGAATGACTTGTCCACTACCACATCCCAGCAGGGCTCAGGGTCTGCTCTCAGCCCCTCTGAGCTTCCGCAAGGGCAGATGCCAGCCTCCCTCACACTGCAGGCATAATGGACACACACCACCCCAACCTCCAAGCAGGGCAAGATTCCAGGACTTCCAGGCACATACCCAGGGTTTGCGTTCCCCTTGGAATTGGGGACAGTGGAGTAGAATGTGTACAGTGGTACCTCAGGTTACATACGCTTCAGGTTACAGACTCTGCTAACCCAGAAATAGTGCTTCAGGTTAAGAACTTTGCTTCAGGATGAGAACAGAAATCGTGCTCCGGCGGCGCGGCGGCAGAAGAGGCCCCATTAAGCTAAATTGGTGCTTCAGGTTAAGAACAGTTTCAGGTTAAGTATAGCCCTCTGGGACGAATTAAGTACTTAACCTGAGGTACCACTGTACTTTTATTCAAAATGCATCTCGGGGTTATTTGTGGGGCACAGGAATTCCTTCATTTTTTCCCGAAAATACAGTCTGGCCCCCCACATGTTCTGAGGGACGGTGGACCGGCCCACGGCTGGAAAAGATTGCTGACCCCTGGCATAGGGCAGGGGGGTCTCCGCACAGGCCCTGCCCTCCTCTCTCGGCCTTTTGAGGAGGTGGGCTTCCTCTCATGAGACTGTGGGGAGCTGGGGGGGGGGGGTTCCCTTTTCGAAAGGGCTTCAGTTTAACGGCCGACCGGCCGCCTGAGTCAACGACGTTGGAGGAGGAGCTGGAGGCCGCCGCTTCTCGCCCCCCGAGCACCAGCGGGGTCTGCAAGGGCGACGGCGGGTCCTGCGCCGCCCAAGAATGACGAGGGGCGACCGAGAAAGGAAGGCCAGGACGAGGCCTCCCTACTGCGCAGGCGCGGCGGAGGGACGTCGCCATGGCGACAGCCGGGCGCTCGAGTGGGCGCCCAACTCCCGCTAGGCCGCAAGGTGCGTGCGCACGCCGCTGAGGCACCCCCCACCCCCATCCGACCCCGTCTACTCACCAGCCCCTCGTTCATGCCGGGCCCGCCGCCGCCGCCGCCGCCGCCCTTGTACTCGGCGTAGCGAAGGCGCTCTCCCTCCGAGGCGCCCTTCGCGCTCCCCATCGCGGCCAGGCAAAGCGAAATGGAGAAAGCGGCGGCTACGGGGCGCCGCGAGGGACAAACTCGGCGCGCCTCTCTTCGCTTTTGCCCTCCCATGGACGGGGAAGCTGCACTGAGCATGCGCGACATCAGTCAGCCGCCTCGAGCCCCTGCTGGGAAAAAGGCGGCGTGTAAACGAAATACGTAGTCGAAACAAAATTTTAAAAATCCCGTAGCGCCTTAGAGTTTTCCCAACTATGTTTGTTATTGGTATGAGCTTCCGTGTGCATGCACACTTCTTCAGATACACATTTCATGTGCATGCACACGAAAGCTCATACCAATAACAATAAGGGGCTACTGGAAGGAATTTTTTTTATTTTGTTTCAAGTGCGGCAGAGCAACTCAGCTACCCACTTGTGATGAAATACGTAGTTATCTTGGGGATTTTTGTGCTCTGGGTTAGCGGCTGGCAACCCTACAAAAGAGATGCAAGAAAGGAATCAAGTCATTCTGCTCTAGGTGCTTAGCATGGGACTGAAAAATGCTCACTCCGTTTTTCAGGAGGCGTTCACATGGTATCAAATCTGTGTTCTGGATTTTCCTGGTGTTTCTTCCCCTATCCCCCTGTTATGACCCAGCTTGAAAAGGCCTGCCATGAAGGCTAGGGGACCCTTCTGAGGTGTAAGACAACCCTGCCATCTTTCCAGACACCTCCCAGTCTGCTGAGTTTACCTTAAACACCTATTTACTTCTGATCCAAAGCAAACCTTGTCTTTCTAATGATGTAATGGACAAAAATCAAGTAAGCACACTTAAATTAACAAATGCTTTCAAACTAATTATGGTAAATAATCACTGAATGGTCAGGTGAATTTACCCTTCCCCCTCACCACCACAGAAGTTATGTCATGCCACTGGTATGAATGGAATATCACAAGAAGTTCGCACAATACCTCCCAAGATTGTGGAAAGCATCTTACAGTTTTACCCGAAGAGCAATTATTGGATAATGCTGGGAGCCACTCATTGACAGAAACTTCCAAACAGAATGTTGGGCTCTGGGAAGGCGGCAGTTGGGACAGGTGAGCCAGAGAAGCTCAGTGATGTGCTTTGTATGTTGCCAAATCTGGCAGCAACCTGTGGACTGCTTGTATAAGTGTAATAGATGTCGAGTAAAAGGCCTCAGCATCGGTTGGTGCCTTTGCGCACAAAAACAAAGAAGGACCCCAACGTGAAGAAAGGCCACAAAATGGGGTGAGTTTTGACTTGCCACACAAATGCCAACACAACAAAAGAACCCGTGAGTTTGTTGTGCTTATGATAAAGGCTTAGGCGCATATCTCCCTCAGTATGCAATGCAGAGTCCAAAAATTTCCCTCGGCTCAATTCAGAAAGACTCGATGCTATGAACTTTATGGACATTTCTCAGAGCAGTTTCAAGAGTTCTCACCTGGGTTGTAAGGTTGGTGCAGAGACACTAAACCTTTGGGCTGGATTCAACTGACCGGTCGAACACCAGGACTTCAGCTAGTGCAACAGGACTTCTCCCCCTGGTGCCCCCAAATTGTCTTAAAGGTAAATGTAAAGGGACCCCTGACCATTAGGTCCAGTCCAGAGATGGGACTGCGGCGCTCATCTCGCTTTATTGGCCGAGGGAGCCGGCGTACAGCTTCCAGGTCATGTGGCCAGCATGACTAAGCTGCTTCTGGCGAACCAGAGCAGCACACGGAAACGCCGTTTACCTTCCCGTCGGAGTGGTACCTATTTATCTACTTGCACTCTGATGTGCTTTCGAACTGCTAGGTTGGCAGGAGCAGGGACCGAGCAACGGGAGCTCACCCCGTCACGGGGATTCAAACTGCCGACCTTCTCATCAGCAAGTCCTAGGCTCTGTGATTTAACCCACAGTGCCACCCACTTAGGGGGAGATTATTATGTCGGGCAAGCTCAAATGGGAAACATTTGGGAAAGCGTGGTGTTGAATTTTTTCCCTTGACACCTGAGATGTATATTTTTAGGACCCACTCAAGTTGGGATTGTAATTTGTTTTATACTGCTTTTTGTTGTTGTATTTTACATTGTTGGGAACCACCCTGGATCTTCTGGCTGCATTTGCCCTGCACCCACCCCACAGTGCCTGCCATTGTGCGTACAGTTGTACCTCCTTTTGCGTCTGTGATCCCGACGAAAGGGACACTCGACAAAGTGCTGCTCTGCGCATGCATGAAGCACGATTGGCAAACCCGAAGTAACCCGTTCTGGTACTTCCGGGTTTGCTGCGGATGTTGGACGAAATGGACCCTAAACAAGGCGGACTCAAAATGAGGTACCGCTGCAGAGCCATCTGGATTTTAGATCTGGATGGTAGACAACATCCATGTAAAATGCCTGCAGCAAACAAGAGGTATCACTAGCCCAAATATAGAGAAGAAATGTAAAGAAGAAAAGAGTGGTTGGGGAAACCCAGCCAGATGGGCGGGGTATAAATAAATTATTATTATTATTATTATTATTATTATTATTATTAGTCTACTTGGTTGTATGTGTTGTTTGCACAGCTCATAGCCACTGAGAGTTTTATTTAGAACAAGGGGCTAATATGAGTTTGCGCCTGAAAAGGGAACATATTTCAGAGGCCATTTTCTGTTATTAGTTTAGTCACTTGAGCACAAGACTTTGAAGCCTAGGGTCGTGGGTACAAGCCCCACATTGGGCAAAAGATTCCTGCATTGCAGGGGTTTAGACTAGATGGCCCCTCGTAGTCCCTTCCAACTCTACGGTTCTGTGATTCTGAGTTTTGCACGATGATCTACAGAAGAACTCCAGAAATAACTGCTGGGACAAACCATACTTTACAGGTTTGCAGGAGAACATCTGGTGAAAATGGTGCTCAGAAATAAACCTAGCCATTACAAGATGGACAGGTTCATAGTCTGAACCAGAATATCTCTAATGTGAAATGAAAAGAACTAGAGTATATTTCCCTGACGGAAGAAGCTGTTTTCCCTATTGCCCAACAACCACACCTATTTCTGGATTTATTTGTTACATTTTAATCCTACTCCGTCATCCCAGGTGTTCAGGGTGGTCATATGGTGTCTTTGCCCCTTTTTAAACCTCCGAACAGCCTTGTGAGGCTAGGATGAGTAATACTGTTGATTAGTCCAAGGTCATTAGGGAATACCTAGATTTCAAATCCTATATTCAATAGGATTCAAGTCCAATAGTTACTCACTACAGCACCACTACAACACATTTAGGGTAGGGGACTAGACCCAACAGTAGCAGATTCGTGTGCCAGAATTTGCCCACGGATTTCTTATAAAGGGGGTGATTCAAAGTTCAGCAGGAGAGGGAGGAGAGCTGAATTCTACCCCTGTTGAATTTCTACCCTCCTGCTGCTTCTCTCTGGCTGTCATCTTTTGAGGCTCCAGTTCTGAAAGTAACCCACAGCAGAGGAAAAATGGATAGGGAAAACCAGGAGGGGGGGGCATGTAAAGCGCTCAGTTCCCCCTTCCTGCCTGCCCAATCTGTGCTTTAAGTTACTTCTCCAACTTTATATGGAATTGGTGCAAACTGCATACCGAAACAAATGCTGTGTACCATCTAGTTTTGCCCTTAAGGTCTCCTTTCTTAAGCAGGATTGCCACACACATCGCTCTTCTGTGTGGGATGGGAGCCCCTCCCCAACAATTATGGGGTTCTGTATGCCAGAAAGAGCAGCAGACCACGACGACTCCCATTTCCACGCCAGAAAAGTCCCCACCATAAATTCTTTCTGTGGTGTGGCTATTAAAAGCACAGGGGGAAAAGACATCACCTGAATTATTCCAGAGAAATGTGTTTGCATACAGCAGTCTAGAAAATTGCAAGCCATTTTCAGAGTGTGTTCCTATTGACATTCCTATTGACTTCAGTGGGGCCAAACTGTATTTGCTTCAGCAGCAGAAATTATGTGGGTGAACTTATCTCCTGGCTGGGAAATAAGTGGAGGGAAAAGACTTGCCTGCTCTGCGTCAGGCTGTTGTTAAAGGCACAAGGCAGGCCCAGTGGTTTAACGTTGTGGGTTAAACCACAGAGCATAGGACTTGCCGATCAGAAGGTCGGCAGTTCGAATCCCCGCGACGGGGTGAGCTCCCGTTTCTCGGTCCCTGCTCCTGCCAACCTAGCAGTTCAAAAGCACGTCAGAGTGCAAGTAGATAAATAGGTACTGCTCTGGCGGGAAGGTAAACGGTGTTTCCGTGCGCTGCTCTGGTTCGCCAGGAGCGGCATAGTCATACTGGCCACATGACCCAGAAGCTGTACACCAGCTCCCTCAGCCAATAAAGCGACATGAGCGCTGCAAGCCCGGAGTCAGTCACGACTGGACCTAATGGTCAGGGGTCCCTTTACCTTTTTAGGCCCAGGAAAGTGAAAGGAAAGGCTGGAAACCTTGGAGCTGGCAAAGGCCTTACCAGGTAACCATTTCCAGGTTACCTTCCCAAATATACTGCCCTGCATGGCTTGGCTCGGGCAAAGTGAATGTCCTTTCCCCCATCATGTCTACTAGGCAGATTTGCTCAGAAGTGCCCCCCAGCATCTAGTCCCCCCCTTAATTCTCCCACACTGAGGCTACAGTTGTCAACCCACATCCTAGGGTGCAAGGGACCATAGCTGTCAACTTTCAGATTTGAAAATAAGGGATCAGCAGCTTCACCTGTCCCGTGGACAGTCTATGGGATATCTAACAATCCGGGATAGCAGCGGGAAGCAGCGGGAAATGGCGCTGGAATAAGGCAACTTCCCGCAAAAAAAAGGGAAGGTTGACAGCTATGCAACGGACCCACAGAACTTGCACCAGAGGACCGTGCCAACGGGATTGCTCCCTGAGCCGCCACTTGCAACTCATGAGAACGCTGGTCCCAGTCAACAGGCAGTGTGTCTCAATGAGCACAGTGGGGTGCAATGGGGCTCATCCTGCCCCTCTTGTGCCACACAGTGCCGGGAAGGAATTTGGAGAGACAGAGCTGAGGAAAGTTGCACCTGCCAAGGGGCTGGGCTTCGCCTGCCTCCTCTTTGGGTGGGTGTCGTGGGGATCCCTCCTTGGTCCCTGAGCTTCCTCTGCGTGGAGGCAGCACGCAGGCCTTACAGCGCCAGCCCAGCCACACCTGCCCAACAGCGAGTCCTGTTGCATTCCATGGCGCTTGTTGTTGTTTAGTCGTTTAGTCGTGTCTGACTCTTCTTGACCCCCTGGACCAGAGCACGCCAGGCACTCCTGTCTTCCACTGCCTCCCACAGTTTGGTCAAACTCATGTTTGTAGCTTCGAGAACACTGTCCAACCATCTTGTCCTCTGTCGTCCCCTTCTCCTTGTGCCCTCCATCTTTCCCAACATCAGGGGCTTTTCCAGGAAGTCTTCTCTTCTCATGAGGTGGCCAAAGTACTGGAGTCTCAGCTTCATGATCTGTCCTTCCAGTGAGCACTCAGGGCTGATTTCCTTCAGAATGGAGAGGTTTGATCTTCTTGCAGTCCATGGAACTCTTAAGAGTCTCCTCCAGCACCATAATTCAAAAGCATCAATTCTTCGGCGACCAGCCTTCTTTATGGTCCAGCTCTCACTTCCATACATCACTACTGGGAAAACCATAGCTTTAACTATACGGACCTTTGTTGGCAAGGTGATGTCTCTGCTTTTTAAGATGCTGTCTAGGTTTGTCATTGCTTTTCTCCCAAGAAGCAGGCATCTTTTAATTTCATGACTGCTGTCACTATCTGTAGTGATCATGGAGCCCAAGAAAGTAAAATCTCTCACTGCCTCCATTTCTCCCCCTTCTATTTGCCAGGAGGTGATGGGCCCAGTGGCCATGATCTTAGTTTTTTTGATGTTGAGCTTCAGACCATATTTTGCGCTCTCCTTTTTCACCCTTATTAAAAGGTTCTTTAATTCCTCCTCACTTTCTGCCATCAAGGTTGTGTCATCTGCCTATCTGAGGTTGTTGATATTTCTTCTGGCAATCTTAATTCCAGTTTGGGATTCATCCAGCCCAGCCTTTCGCATGATGAATTCGCATATAAGTTGAATAAGCAGGGAGACAATATACAGCCTTGTCGTACTCCTTTCCCAATTTTGAACCAATCAGTTGTTCCATACCCAGTTCTAACTGTAGCTTCTTGACCCACATAGAGATTTCTCAGGAGACAGATGAGATGATCAGACACTCCCATTTCTTTAAGAACTTGCCATAGTTTGCTGTGGTCGACACAGTCAAAGGCTTTTGCATAGTCAATGAAGCAGAAATAGATGTCTTTCTGGAACTCTCTACTTTCTCCATAATCCAGCACATGTTTGCATGGCGCTTACTCGCAGGTAAGTGGGATCCAGGCTGGCCCTGCAACCGAGCCTGCTCAGCGGGGGCGGCCCCGCGCATTTGGGCCCCTGGGGGGGGTGTGACTCCATCCTTCATGGAGATCACCTGTGTTCCGCGGCAGGTGAGGCGAGGGGGCGTGTGTTCGAGGGCGGGGCGTGTCTTGGCGGGGAAAGCGAAAGTAAAGCGCCTGCGGCAAACTTTCGATTTCGTTTCCTGCGGCTGGACAAGGGAGCAGCTGTTCTGGGCGCGCGTGTATCTGCGAGCGGAATCCTTGCAGCCGGAGCCATGAGCTGGACGCATTCGGCCTCTCCGTCTCCCTTGCCAAGGGGCGCCTCGCCGGGCGACCCCTCTGCCTGCCCCCGGGATGGGGGCGCTTCGGGGCCGGAGGGCGGGCAGGAGCAGCGGCCGCAGCAGTAAGTAGCCCGGGCGCCCTCAAACTCCCCCGTCTGAATTAATAAGAGGGAAAGATAAGCAGAGCCGTCTCATTCCAGTGACCCATTTCGTCCCGTATTAGGAGCTATTTCTTGCTTTATTTCTTTTTAAAAATAATTTCTTACTGAAGACTTTCTTAGTTTGCAAAAGTACATGGTCGCTTCTCTTTTCAGGTTGCGTTTTCCACCGGTCTGTTGCATTAATGGCGATTGTATTGCATTGAATATTTCTTGCTTTCTCTGAAGCTCATTATTCTCTTCCCTTCATTTCAATAGGGACCCCAGTCATGTCCGTCGGTATTGGCAGCTCCCCTTGTTTCCTATCCACTCTCGACTTGTTCCCAGTGGGTGGCATTTATTCGTTTATTTATTTAGTGTAGCGCTACTCCGTTGTAGTGTATCAAACTCTAGCGTTGCCGGCACAGGCCTGTCATTAAGAAACCTAGTTGTCGACTGCCAAATAATATATTTTAAGAACCTCTTTGTGGTCCTAGGAGCTTTTGGGTTGAATTTGTAAAGTATCCTGGATAAAAGGGCCCTTACATAGTCCAGTAAACTACTGCGATTTTCAGAGTATGCTGCCATCTAATGTGAATGATGCTAACAAGGTACCACCAGCTCTGTTATAATAGTTTGTGCACACATCTCCCTCACTTAGAAAGCATGGTTCCCAGCAGTTTACCATTTGTCCCACAGCTCTCCATGGAAAAACCTGTCATTTTCCGCTGAAGTGGAGCGGATGGCGATCCATTGAAACCCGGTTGACATTTTCTCCAGTTCAGTGGCAATGAGGGGGCTACCTGTGAGAAAGCAGCAGGACAAGCAGAAGTCCTGCTTGGGCTGGGTGTTCATCAGTATGCAGATGACACCCAGCTCTACCTCTCCTTTAAATCAGAACCAGTGAAGGCGGTGAAGGTCCTGTGTGAGTGCCTGGAGGCGGTTGGAGGATGGATGGCGGCTAACAGATTGAGGTTGAATTCTGACAAGACAGAAGTACTGTTTTAGGGGGACAGGGGGACAGTGGGTGTGGGGGATTCCCTGGTCGTGAATGGGGTAACTGTGCCCCTGAAGAACCAGGTGTGCAGCCTGGGAGTCATTTTGGACTCACAGTTGTCCATGGAGGTGCAGGTTAATTCGGTACGCAGGCTAAGACCCTACCTGCCCACGGACTGTCTCGCCAGAGTGGTGCATGCTCTAGTTATCTCCCGCTTGGACTACTGCAACATGCTCTACGTGAGGCTACCTTTGAAGGTGACCTGGAAACTGCAATTAATCCAGAATGCAGCAGCTAGACTGGTGACTGGGAGTGGCTGCCGGGACCACATAACACCGGTCCTGAGAGATTTGCATTGGCTCCCAGTATGTTTCCGAGCACAATTCAAAGTGTTGGTGCTGACCTTTAAAGCCCTAAATGGCCTCGGTCCTGTATACCTGAAGGAGCGTCTCCACCCCCATCGTTCAGCCAAAACACTGAGATCCAGCGCTGAGGGCCTTCTGGCAGTTCCTTCATTGCGAGAAGTGAGGTTACAGGGAACCAGACAGAGGGCCTTCTCGGTAGTGGCACCCATCCTGTGGAACACCCTTCCTTCAGATGTGAAGGAAATAAGCAGCTATCCTATCTTTAAAAGACATCTGAAGGCAGCCCTGTTCAGGGAAGTTTTTAATATTTAATGCTGTAATGTTTTTAACACTTGATTGGGAGCCGCCCAGAGTGGCTGGGGAAACTCAGCCAGATGGTGGGGCATAAATACCGTATTTTTCGCACCATAGGACGCACCAGCCCATAGGACGCATCAAGTTTTTTTGGGGGGGAAATAAAGAAAAAAAAATTTATTTCCCCCCCAGGCGCTTGTGGGGCCGGCAGCAGGGAGAAGCGCTCTTCTCCCCGCAGTCCGCCTTCAGATCAGGTCCGGGGACAGCGGGAAGACGCGCTGCGCCTCCCAGCTGTCCCCGGAGCTTGCGAGGCAGGCAGCGGGGAGCAGCGCGCTGATCCCGGCCGCCTGCCGTGAGATCAGGTCCGGGGACAGCGGGGAGACGCGCTGCGCCACCCAGCTGTCCCCAGAGCTTGCGGGGCAGGCAGCGGGGAGAAGCGCTCTTTTCCCCGCCGCCCGCCTTCAGATCAGGTCCGGGGACAGCGGGAAGACGCGCTGCGCCTCCCAGCTGTCCCCGGAGCTTGCGGGGCAGGCAGTGGGGAGAAGCGCTCTTCTCCCCGCCGCCCGCCTTCAGATCAGGTCCGGGGACAGCGGGAAGACGCGCTGCGCCTCCCAGCTGTCCCCGGAGCTTGCAAGGCAGGCAGCGGGGAGAAGCGCTCTTCTCCCTGCCGCCTGCCTTGAGATCAGGTCCGGGGACAGCGGGAAGACGCGCTGTGCCTCCCAGCTGTCCCCGGAGCTTGCAAGGCAGGCAGCGGGGAGAAGCGCTCTTCTCCCTGCCGCCTGCCTTGAGATCAGGTCCGGGGACAGCGGGAAGACGCGCTGCGCCTCCCAGCTGTCCCCGGAGCTTGCGGGGCAGGCGGCGGGGTCTTCCCGCCGTCAGCCTCCAAACCACTTCGGGAGACAGTGGGATGGCGGCGTTCCACCTCCCTCTGTCCCCCGACCTTGTGGGGCTGGCGCTGGGGCTCTCCTGAAGCCTGGAGAGCGAGAGGGTCGGTGCGCACCGACCCCTCTCGCTCTCCAGGCTTCAGTGAAAGCCTGCATTCACCCCATAGGACGCACACACATTTCCCCTTCATTTTTGGAGGGGAAAAGGTGCGTCCTATTGGGCGAAAAATACGGTAATAAATTATTATTATTATATATTAAGTGTGGTTGAGCCCTAACTGGCATGTTCCTGAGTCTTTAGGAGTCATTTGTGGGAAGCAGCCAACCTGTTCCTACAGGTATGAAGAGAAAACCAAACAGCAGGTCTGGTCAAAACCTCTGTCTCCGTTGAAGGCGGCCAGCTCTCATGCGCAAAGCATGTGAAACCTCCTTTGGTGTAGCGTGTAGACATTTCTCATCTTGCAAAGGGGAGTTTGGGAAGCTTTGCAAGACCACGCCCTACCTAGAAACTTTATTGAGTCATGCTCTGGAAAACTCCCATGGCTACGTAGCAGGAAGTAAAAATAGGAAGTGTTTAGTAAATCCACTAGCTCAGCTTGTTGTGCCATTTCCAGTACTCAGTTTTTTAGAAACTTGAACACAACATTAATTGTCTCTTAGGTGCAACTGCACAGTCCTTGTGTGTTGCTGTTTGCGAATACGTTCCGAAATCGAGACAATCCACAAAATTGGAACAACAAAATGCACTCTGCTTGTTAGCTCAGCTTTTGGTTAATTGGAATTGGGTTTTGAATAAACTATTGGGGGCTTTTTCACTAATCAGTTCATGATCTGATCACCACCTCCCTCAAGCACTCCAACAGCATTATTCTGAAGTCTAATGTAGACGAAATGAGAGTGCCATTATCATAGCTGCCAATGCGTACTTTAAAAGGCTGCATGGGGCTCCAAACTGGATAAATAAGGGCTGCAGTACTGAGAGTTTATGTGAGAATCATTTTTCTCCATGTAATTTCGCTTAATCTCTTTCCCTGAGCTGCTTTTTGCCCTGCTGAGTTATTGGGAGTCTTCTGGACCCATCCAACTGGGTCCTAAGAAGAAGCTGTTTCCCTAAGAGTTTGATTGTTTCTGCTGCAGCGTGAGCAGCATGGGAATCTAGGATGTATTGTTTATAGTCAATGACGAGCATAGCTTCCTGCAAAAATGCCCTACCAATTCAAAACAGGCTTGTATTAAAAAACAAAAATGTACAGTGGTACCTCAGGTTAAGTACTTAATTCGTTCCGGAGGTCCGTACTTAACCTGAAGCTGTTCTTAACCGGAAGCACCAACTTTAGCTAATGGGGCCTCCTGCTGCTGCCGCGCCGCCTAAGCACAATTTCGGTTCTCATCCTGAAGCAAAGTTCTTAACCTGAAGCACTATTTCTGGGTTAGCGGAGTCTGTAACCTGAAGCGTATGTAACCTGAGGTACCACTGTATTTGAAAGCTACTTCTTAGTAAAGTCGGCCCAGTCGTGGCCGACTCTGGGGTTGCAGCGTTCATCTCACTTTATTGGCTGAGGGAGCCAGCGTACAGCTTCCGGGTCATGTGGTCAGCATGACTAAGCTGCTTCTGACGAACCAGAGCAGCGCATGGAAACGCCGTTTACCTTCCCGCCAGAGCGGTACCTATTTATCTACTTGCAGTTTGACGTGCTTTTGAACTGCTAGGTTGGCAGGAGCTGGGACCGAGCAACGGGAGCTCACCCCATCGCGGGGATATGAACCGCCGACCTTCTGATCGGCAAGTCCTAGGCTCTGTGGTTTAACCCACAGCGCCACCCGCGTCCCTAAGCTACTTCTTATATTACTACAAAATGTGCAATCCACCCTTCGTCCGTATCGGTATCGGGGCACAGTGCCACAAACAAAATAACCAAACCTCAGAAATGGAATTTCACAAGCATAACAAATTAAGACTGCTAAAACTATCAACAGCACAGCTGGGTTAAGCAATCAAAACTAAAACTCTGAAAATGCCTGGATGAGGAAGTATCCCAAAGCGACGGAGTTGGTGCCAGACAGACTGCTTTGAGGAGAAAGCAGTCTATACCCAGAGTGCCATTGTCCATTAGGGTCTCTCATGTATTGCCACGTAATGGATTTTCGTAGATGGTGGAAGCTGAAGAAGATGCCACTCCTCAGCCCCAGACGAAAGGCGCAGGCAGGCTAGAATAGAATAGGAAGAGGTGGTCCTTGATGAGTGTCGTCTAAGGCTTTAACATGCACCTTCAATTGGTCCAGGAAGTGAACAGGCAGACAATGGAGTAATTCTTCTAGAATTGGTGTCCTGTTGTTGCATCTGACTGAATTGATTAAAAACGTAGCAATGGCAGCCTCACGTGCAGTGTGTTAAAGTAAGGCAGCTGGGAAATGACCAGAGCACAAGATACAGTGGTACCTCGGGTTACATACACTTCAGGTTACAGACTCCGCTAACCCAGAAATAGTACCTCGGGTTAAGAACTTCGCTTCAGGATGAGAACAGAAATCGTGCTCTGGCGGTGCAGCGGCAGCAGGAGGCCCCATTAGCTAAAGTGGTGCTTCAGGTTAAGTACAGACCTCCGGAACGAATTAAGTACTTAACCTGAGGTACCACTGTACTGTGGCCTAACACTCTCTGTCCAGAAATGGTCCTAACTGGGGAACCATCTGAAGCCAAAAGAAGGCCACGAAAGACATTTTCATCTCCAGGGACAATGTTGGATCCAGGAGTCCTCACAAGTTATGTAGATGCTCCCTGAGAGAGACTGCAGTCCTATCAAGACCAGGCAGGGCACCTAAATCTCTGGTTGGAGAACTATCTCCATCTTGTCAGTATTTGGTTTACTGGTCTCCCACTTTGACCATTAGAGCCCACAGTCCAGAACCCCCAGGTCAGGTAAGTGCGGTTTTGAGGTGGCAATGGGTAGGGCTGGGAGAGCCGGAGCTGCTTTTTTGCTGTTGCCAGTGCTGGGCCTGGTGGCAGCCTGGGCCTGACTCTGCAATGCGCAGGGTGCAATCCACCCCAGCGCCTAGCGCATCAGGGCCTTCGGATGTTGCCAAGGGGCGCAGGGCCCCTTGGCAGTGTTGGCCAGCTCTGCAAGGGGTGGGGTCGTCTGGTGCTGCTGCTGACATGCACCTAGTAAATAACAAAGTGTCTACTCAGAAGAATGTTGATGTTGTTTAGTCATTTAGTCGTGTCCGACTCTTCGTGACCCCATGGACCAGAGCACTCCAAGCACTCCTGTCTTCCACTGCCTCCCACAGTTTGGTCAGACTCATGTTCGTAGCTTCGAGAACACTGTCCAACCATCTTGTCCTCTGCCGTCCCCTTCTCCTTGTGCCCTCCATCTTTCTCAGCATCAGGGTCTTTTCCAGGGAGTCTTCTCTTCTCATGGGGTGGCCAAAGTACTGGAGCCTCAGCTTCAGGATCTGTCCTTCCAGTGAGCACTCAGGGCTGATTTTCTTCAGAATGGGTCGGTTTGATCTTACAGTCCATGGGACTCTCGAGTCTCCTCCAGCACCTTAATTCAAAAGCATCAATTCTTCGGCAATCAGCCTTCTTTATGGTCCAGCTCTCACTTCCACACATCACTACTGGGAAAACCATGAATTTAACTATACATACCAGAAGAAAGCTGCACCAAATTCAGTGGGCCTTACTCCCAGGTGAGATTGTGTGGGTCTGTCGGGTTTTATCTAGGCCAGGCTTCCTCAACCTCGGCCCTCCAGATGTTTTGAGACTACAGTTTGCATCAACCCTGATCACTGGTCCTGCTAGCTAGGGATCATGCGAATTGTAGGCCAAAAACATCTGGAGGGCCAAGGTAGGCAGCCAGGGCTCCTCCAGATAACAAGATCTTTTTCCAGCAGGTCAGTGAGGACCACTTGCTTTTTAAAATTCTCCCATATATACCGAACTCCCTGTGCACCTTTTTGACTGTATCTGTAGTTTCCCCCCTCTGTGTCAAATAACTAGGGTCAAATAAATGTTGTTTTCTTTTTATAATACCTGGAAGATGGATCTCCCTTGGGAGGTTCTGGACTCTCCTTCCTGGGAGGTTTTTAAGCAGAGGCTGGATGGTCGTCTGTCATGGATGCTTTAGCTGAGTTTCCTACATTGCAGGGGGCTGCACTAGAAAGATTACCTTTGGGGTCCCTTCCAGTTCCATGATTCTGTTTTTCTGCTTCAACATTATTTCATTATGTTCCTATCATTTGATGTAATAGTATTTTGTATAAATTATAAAAGTATAAATAAAACATCTCCTATTTACAAGCAAAGCATTTAAATAGCTACCTTTCCACCGGTAGGATGGGGGTAGCCAGGATTTTTCTTGGGGGGAAGACAGAACCTCAGATTTGTATTGACTTTTTTTCTTATTGGGGGGCAGCTGCCCCCCTGCCTCCCTTGGCTACATCCATGGGGGGCACAGGAAGGAAACAAGGTCAGAAGGGGGCCACATTCAGAAAAAGGTTGTGAAACACTGGTGTACACAGATCAGATGCAAGCTGATATTGATAGTTACCGTATTTTTCGCTCTATAAGACGCACCAGACCACAAGACGCACCTAGTTTTTGGAGGAGGAAAACAAGAAAAAAAATGTTCTGAATCTCAGAAGCCAGAACAGCAAGAGGGATCGCTGCGCAGTGAAAGCAGCAATCCCTCTTGCTGTTCTGGCTTCTGGGATAGCTGCGCAGCCTGCATTCGCTCCATAAGACGCACACACATTTCCCCTTACTTTTAAGGAGGGGAAAAGTGAGTCTTATAGAGCAAAAAATATGGTACTTACAGCAACTCTCTAATGAAAGCTTTAAGAACAGTCAGCCTGAGAAGCAACCGCTTGCATTTCTGCAGGGCGCAGAAATTACATAATTAGGTTGTACAGATGTTAAAATCCATTTGCTACACGTTCATGTGCCTAATTAACTGAAAACATGTCATATAGAAAAGGGTCAGCAAGAGTTGTATTGTGCGAAAATGCAGCAGTTTTGCAACAAAGGTAAATTAGGTCAAACTGCCACATTGCATTTTCAATCCCCCCACCGAACTCAGAATATTGCTGAGTTTAGATGCACTATATGTTATCATCACTCTCTAATGATGTACAATAAACGGGGATATCATACTAAAAGAGGAAATCAGGGTACGTGCAGTCTAGTCTTTGGGTATCTCTTTAATTCTCTGCTAGTGTTTGGCAACCCTTTCCTTCTGTGCTCCAACTTATAAATCACTTTGGCTTCTCCTTTCCTTACAGGTGTCATTGCTATTCTTGCTGACTTGCAGAGCTATCATACAGAGTGTTAAATGTATTTGGATCTTGCCTTGACAGATTGTGTAGAAGGGCTCTTGTTCCCAGGCGGTGTTCTGTAAGCGTCTCACAGAACTGAGCAAAGGCCTCTGTCTGCATAATAAAATAAGATTTGTTGCATTTCCCCGTGTGCTGACATTTCCTGTGTATGCCACAACTTTCTCATATCTTAAAAAAATGCTAGAATCTATCTTTTGCTGTTACCAAAAGCTGCACAAGCCTTTAACTTTGATGCCATGGAAATGAAATGAGAATCTGGCCGGGCTTGTGACAGAGTTCTGCTACTGCGCTTGGCAGCAGACATTACGATTATGATCTAGGAAGTTTTGTCCTGGGAAATAAAAATACATCCTTCCGACTTCAGAAGCGTCTGTAAGGACACATTCACCACTCGTCTTCCTCTGTAGCAGGGAGAAGGCAGCATAACTTCAGGTAGGGTGGTGGCGGCAGTGAAGGAAAAATTTTGTTTTCTGTGCGAAGTACCAGAGAGGTTAGAATAGGTAAGGAAGCAAATAGAAGCACTAGGGCAGCCATTCTGAAAATGCTTAAGTTCATATTTCTTCTGATAAATACTAATTAAAAGAAATATGAACGAACTATTTATATATTACTTACTATAATTATTTATAGCCCGTGCTTCAGGATAATGCTTCCAAGGCAGTATACAATTAAATTGATCCCAAGTGAGACTTTTTTCTTTTCTTTAGGGCTTCTCTTTCTGGAGTTTTCTTTCAGATTTATTTAGCTTCATACATTTCGGGAGAGAAGCAGCTGTATCTTTTCATAGCTGGCAAAATGAAACTATGGATGGCATTGGAGCTCTGGCTGTGTACACATTAATGGCTTAAATGTTGAAGTAATTTACCTTCTCCCTCTGAATTTCAATTCACATTTGCCCTTTGCTGTACACACCAGAGAGGGGTCGGGGATGTCATCACCCAACAAGCGTTGCCTGCTTGGTTTTCCTGCCCCTGCAATGCGCGTACACACAGAACCCCTGTTTGTGAAGGTGTCACCTGTGAATGCTCATTCATCTGAACGTGCACAATGATTCTCTCAAATGCACACACCAGATTCAACATGAGAATGTGGCCCAACTTTTCTAGTTGCATTGAAGCAGGTTTGAAGAAAAACAAATACCAGTGGTTATCTAGAACTCCAGCCCTTCAGATGTTTTGAGACTACAATTCCCATCATCCCTGACCACTGGTCCTGTTAGCTAGGGATGGTGGGAATTGTTGTTCCAAAACATGTGGAGGGCTGGAGTTTGCCTATGCCTGATCTAGAAACTACAAAATCGGTATAGATTGTAGGTAACGTGTAAATATGACTTCAAAAATAGTGGGAGTGCACTGGATAGCAATGTGTACTCTGTGTGTACCCATGTTTTTACTCAGAGGAGACACATTGAAATTAATGAGCATGACTAAGTTATGTCCATTACTTTCAGTAATTCTACTATGAGTAAAACATTGGGTTTTTTTTACTCTTATGAAATATGGTTGCCATATTTCATAGCAACCATCACCATCATTTTCCATTGAGGGGAAAGACTGGATCTGTGCAAGAAATAGTTTTGGAGGGTGGCATATGAATGTCCCTGTCTCAAATGAAATAAATACAACTAAAAATCTACAACAGTCTAAAGACACATCTAGTGAATGCTAGATAGTAATGTATTTTCTCTCTCTCCCTCCCGTGTCTCTTCTTCCAACCTGCAACCTCCCTAGTCTGGGTGCCTTTGCTGTGATTCCTCCAAATCCAGTAAGGAGGAATCAGTTACAGAAAAGTAAGTACGTTATCCTGTTGATGAACCTCTTCATAGCGTATCAGTTCCTGGGTTGTATGTTGCCTTTGTGGGCAGGAATAGATTCTTGCTCACAAGTCTTCCTTCTTGCTGACAAGTCCTGAAAAGAGGACGGGTGTCGCTAATCTAGAAAGTTGCAGATGATGTATGAAAGTGCCTCAAACCATCTGGGCTAGATTAGTAAATGGTAATAGGCAGCTCCTTATGCCTCAATTTTAACAAAGCGCACCTCCTAATTGGTGTGCTCTATAGCTTTTTTCGGGACACGGGTGGCGCTGTGGTCTAAACCACTGAGCCTCTTGGACTTGCTGATCAGAAGGTCGGCGGTTCAAATCCCCGCGACGGGGTGAGCTCCCGTTGCTCAGTCCCAACTCCTGTCAACATAGAAGTTCGAAAGCATGCCCAAAGGTGCAAGTAGATAAATAGGTACTGCTCCAGTGGGAAGATAAAAGCATTTCCATGCACTGCTCTGGTTTCAGTTGTTCTGTTGTGCCAGAAGCAGCTTAGTCATGCTGGCCACATAACCCAGAAAAACTGTCTGTGGACAAATGCCGGCTCCCCCGGGCTATAGAGTAAGATGAGCGCTGCAACCCCAGAGTCGTCCGTGACTGGACTTAACTGTCAGGGGTCCTTTAAAGGTAAAGGGACCCCTGACCATTAGGTCCAGTCATGGCCGACTCTGGGGTTGCGGCGCTCATCTCGCTTTATTGGCCAAGGAAGCCGGCGTACAGCTTCCGGGTCATGTAGCCAGCATGACTAAGCCGCTTATAGCAAACCAGAGCAGCTCACGGAAACTCTGTTTACCTTCCCACCGGAGGGGTCCTTTACCTTTTTATAGCTTTTTTTCAGCTAGAGAATATTTTTATTGGGCAACTCATACGTTATTAAAGTATAAACAAACATACGGCCTTTGCAATTCATTTGCACGTGGGTGGATCAGATGAGATCTTTTTGTTCTGTCTTGAAAGTATTCTGAGGACTACAACCTCATTTCTGCATTTTGTATATCCACTGAAAGATTGACTTAATTGGATCTCACTCCTTTCACTACTGCAAGACTTCTGCCCCTGTGGTCAGGGTATCATGACCGACTTCAGCTATTACAGTGTAATCCTACAAATGTGTTGTTGGAAGCAAGCCTACACCTTGCAAGTGGCCTAAAGTTACCTTTTGCAAATTATAGTGCCCTGTAGAAGTCATGGGCGTTGATGGGTGGCAGAGCCTTGCTCTCCAGGGCCGGCCCACCCACAAGGCAAGTTGGGGTGACTGCCTCAAGCGGCAGAAGCCCCTGTGGGCACCTTGCCACCAGCGCAGTGACACATTCCCATTTTGCCTCAAGCAGCACTTGAGACCACCAAGTGATCACTGACACTAACCTTGTGAGACATGTGGAGGCCATTTATTTTCTGCCTGGCCTGATACCTTTTCCTTGCAGTATTTTGACTCTTTGCTTCACTTACCATATTTCAGTTGCTACCAAAGAGTTGGAAGACCTGGAGAAATGGAAGGAACGGCACAGGCCGGGGCTAATTACCTTGACACCCCAGAAACTGGGTAAGCGAACAAGGGGGGAAAAGGGAAATACATTTGAGATGCTGTGTTTTTCTTAGCTTATTTTGAAGAATTCCGATTGTTTCCCACCGTTCGATTGTTGTGAGAATTAAAACTTCCTCTCTTTGGGGAAATGGAAGCTTCAGGGGCCAGATCATCAGGCTTCTATAACTTTGAAGCTTTATATCACACACTTGGTAACCTTGAACAAATAGTGTAGGAATTCCCATAATTATTGAAATATTCCACTTCCACAGCTGACACCCAGGCCGGCAGCTCCAATGTCTAGCTGATCTACAAAGCCAGGGATAAAAGCAAATAAGATCACAGAACTCATTGTCTCTTCCGTAATGGAGTCACAAGCAATAACTAGCATGGGTTTATAAATAGTTTGTGCCTGAAAAACATGATTGGAACTGTTTATCACTTTGCATTAAGTGATTGTGGCCGTGTTAGCATTTTGCCCTGAGTCAACCATATAATGTACTTCATAAACGTACCTGGAATATCAAAATTTCACTACTGAATAGCTTGAATAAACTGACGGAAGTGATGGAAAATAGCAATGATGTGTTGAGTAGAGGCAGAAGCCCAGAATATCTGCTTCAAACATTGACTAAGCAATAGTAGGGTTCCTTCCACACGAGAGCTCTTCAGTGCTGCAGAGGCATTCTGCTGGAAGCAGAATTTAATACTGTATAGTGTTACATTATGCCTCCTGGAACCTTCATTTCCATTAGCAGTGTCCTTTCTCATGCCTAGGGACACGGGTGGCGCTGTGGGTTAAACCACAGAGCCTAGGGCTTGCCGATCAGAAGGTCGGCGGTTCGAATCCCTGTGACAGGGTGAGCTCCCGTTGCTCGGTCCCTGCTCCTGCCAACCTAACAGTTCAAAAGCACGTCAAAGTGCAAATAGATAAATAGGGACCGCTCCGGCAGGAAGGTAAACGGCGTTTTGGTGCGCTGCTCTGGTTCACCAGAAGTGGCTTAGTCATGCTGGCCACATGACCCGGAAGCTGTACACCGGCTCCCTCGGCCAATAAAGCGAGATGCGTGCCACAACCCCAGAGTCGGTGACGACTGGACCTTTACTTCTCATGCCTAAGATCTATGCCAGGGGTGGCCTGAAGTGAAGGACATGAGGCAGGAGTTGATAATGCAAGTGAGCTGTGCACAGGTGAGCTGCAAGCAAGCTGCCGACCAGCTGCGTGGAGACTCCTTTTATTGACACAATATGCAAACCCAGGCAGATACATTTTGGGCAGTGACCTTTACACATCTTCCAGTCCCAGGATTGTGGGGTGGTACAAAGTTATTTTGGCACCTGTTTCCACCGCGTCATTTTCCCCTTGCACAATGTATGACGAAAGAGACAAAGGTCTTAGGGACAAAGTTTACAGACAGGACACCACAGACTACTGAGACCGCAAAAGGTTAGACAGAGGGCACGATGTTCAGACAGCTGTGGCTTTATCTGTGAAAGGGGAGTTTGCGCCACACCCCAAGGTCACGCGTGCAGGCAGGCTGAGGCTGCGGCTGCCTGCGGGTGGGGAGTGTGCTCCACGCCCAGCGATCATCCCTACAGTGGCCAGCTCTCAAGAGACTGCAATCTACTCTGGCAGTGATCAACCCCATTTTTGGGGGTGCAGGGCAAAAATGTTGAGCTTTTTTTTTAAGCCATTCAACAAAGGCCTCTTCCAGCATTAAGGAAAAGTTACCTGTCTTTAATGTTTACTTGTTTTATGGGGGGGGGGTGTAGTGGTGAATAGCCTCTGCCATGGGCATCCTTCAAAGCTTCCCCAGTGTCTGTCCTGGGGTGGGATTTGCAAAAACTGGGGAAGGAAAAAAGGCAAGAAACTCAGAAATAAAAAGTAATCGCCTTGCAGAACAATACAGGGTTAAACGCCATCTCCCTCTCCCAAACTAACGGATAGTGCTATGTAGAGAATTAAATACATTGTCCTAGGTGGGGTTTTGTCTCCCTGTTGACTTTCACTGGGGATGTCCTGGATACATCCCTGCATCTGCAAGTTTTTTTTGTAGCCATAACCATTGTGTCAGCAATGAATCCCTCAGCTAGCATACAATGTAGTTTAATGCTGCCTCTGATAATGCCATTATGTTGAGAGTGAACTTCAGAACAGATGATGCATTTTTGTATTTATAGGTGGAAGAATATCGGAGGCCGAAGTGAGGCAGAAACAGCAACTTGAGCACATCCAATCTAAATACCAGCAAAAGGTCAGGCAGGATGCGACTGTCGGTTCCTTGGTCACAGCGTGGAACCAGTAGATGAATTTGTTGCTTTACCTTAACTTTTTTATTTTTAAAGGAAACAAGTGCATGGAAACACTGGTCACAAGAGGATAAAATTCTGAAGCAGAAATTTCTGAACTCAATAATTATCCTTTATTTTTTTATTTTACAAGATTCCTTAACTGCTGTTTACCACAAGGTCCCAGGGTGTGTCTGTGTCTGTTAAAAACAAATAAAGCTGTTACAGCCATAAAATACTCTATTTACTCGAATCTAGTGCTCACCATTTTTTGGTCAAATTACGTTGCGAAAATTAAGGTCCACATTGGATTCGATAGCACGTTTACATTCGCCAGCAAATACTTTTTTTTGGTTTCGAGGTTCTGTTTGTCAGTTTCCTCCCTGAAATGTGAGAAGTTAGCTTGCAGGTAGGTGTCTGGTCTGTAAAGTGACAGAACTTTTTCTCTCTCTCTCTCTCTCCTTGTAGCTGAAGAAAGAAGAATATGAAAGACGCAAAAGAGAAGCTGAAGAAGCTGACATTTTAAAAATGAAAATGATCCAGAGAGAGAAAGTAAGAAGACCCACTCAGGCCATTTTAACATTTCCCTCCCTCATGTACCCCTTGCAAATGGGTGTGTGGGTGTGTCCCTCAAACAAGCTGACGCTACTTGATAGAAGTATAGTTGTAATTACTTGCCAGGACGTGGGTGGCGCTGTGGTCTAAACCACAGAGTCTAGGGCTTGCCGATCAGAAGGTTGGCGGTTCAAATCCCTGCGACGGGTTGAGCTTCCGTTGCTTGGTCCCTGCTCCTGCTAACCTAGCAGTTCAAAAGAACATCAAAGTGCAAGTAAATAAATAGGTACCGATCTGGCGGGAAGGTAAACGGCGTTTCCGTGTGCTGCTCTGGTTCGCCAGAAGCGGCTTAGTCATGCTGGCCACATGATCCGGAAGCTGTACGCCGGCTCCTTCAGCCAGTAAAGTGAGATGAGCACCACAACCCCAGAGTCATTCGCGACTGGACCTAACAGTCAAGTAATTTTTGATATAACTGTAAAAACTATTCTGAAAATTTATTATTCCAAAAATGAAACCTTCCTCTGGTTGTAAATATTAAGGTTATACCAGCTAAACTGAGTCTTTCTGTTAAAAAAGCAAGAAAAAAGATTTAAATCAAGCCTTACTGACTAGTGATTTAAATCGTGATTTAAATCAAACCCACCCTGGAAGGAAGTCAACTTTAAGCCATGGTTTATGACCCGGGGAAGATCCCTAAAGTAACCATAGTTAAGATTAACCATGGTTTTGCCTTTGCACAGAATATCAAACCATTATTAATTGAAAAGATAAGCCAAAGCTTCCAATATCCTCAGCAGCCGGAAGGAAGGGAGGATCGATACTAAACCATCAGCACTGATTCCAAAGCTGACCATTATCCCACAAACTGCTAGGAATGAAACCCTGGTACCTTTAATGAGGTTGGCCCTTGTGAATTGTGTCAGGGGGTGGGGGAATAAGTCACTGTTACACTTGTACATTTTTTCATTGTCCTGTGTGTCTGGTTTTAAAAAGGCCCTCAAATGAGAGCAGTTATAATAGTTAGCATCTGCCCAGATCCCTACTTGGCTATGGAGCCTGCTAGGCTACTCATAAGTTTGAGATTTAAGAATAAAACAGAGAAGAAGCCGTGTATGCCACCCCGAGCCTATTGAGGGAAGGGCAGGATAAAAACGCATTAAATAAATAAAATATATTTACTAGTAATAAGGGACAAGCAGATTGCAAAAAAATTTGGCTGCAGAGAATCAAGATTAACTTTATATATTTGGGCCTTCTCTCGGCATCTGTGTGTTTAGCTTCTGGGTGACCTCTGTTAATTATTTTTTACCTGCTGATATGACACCTTGTTTTGATGCCTTCCTATTATAGGCCAACAAGCTTGAAGAAAAACAAAGGCAACAAGAATGGCAAAGACATCGGATGTTTGCTGAAGACCACTGCTTGTAAGTTGAGCTTTGCCTTCAGCCTGAAAGGTGATGCTTATTGCTTCCTGTGCCCAGTCAACTTGCCACCAATTCCTGATAACAAGCAAACAATATCCTTCAGTTCTTTTTCTTTTTTTAAAAAAAATATAATTTTTATTAATTTTTACATATTAGTTATCATTCATACAACAGAACTTCACATCTTATACAATCTTTTTGGACTTCTATCAGCCCCTCTGATGGTCTTCCGTTCTTATAACTTATTCTGCATTTCTTAAGTTCCTATTGCCTTTAATTATCTTAACTAACTGTCCCCCTCGTTACCTCCCCCCCCGCAATATTTCAAATAATCCACCTTACAAAACTTCTTGCAAACCTACAAGCGTAATATGATCATCACAATTACTCTCCAAATAGTCCGTAAATTTATGCCAGTCTTCTGTGAATCTCTGGTCCCGCAGATTTCGAATTCTTCCTGTTAATTTATCTAATTCTGCATCAGTTTCATCCTCCATTCTTCTTTTGTTGGTAATTCTTCTTGTTTCCAATTTTGTGCCAGTGATATTCTTGCTGCCGTCATTGCATATACAAATAATTTACAGTCCTTTATTTTTATATCATCTCCTGCAATGCCAAGTAAAAATGCTTCTGGTTTCTTAATAAAAATATCCTTCAGTTCTGGCAGTGTCCTTTTGGATTCAGGCTCCTATGCTATAGTTGAATAGTCCTGTCCCCTTTTCCTTGTTCCATGACATTTCACTCGGCGCAGTGAATGTGTGACCTACTGTTCTCCTTCAGGGTAGGCTAGCTTCTATAAAGCATGATCACCATATGGTTCCTGTCGACACAATGGCATCTGAGGTCTTCCCAGTTCCTCTGAAGGCTCTGACCCCACATCTGCTCCCTGGTCCCTTGATGATGAGGTGGGGAAGATAGTAAGCTTTTTAATAGAGCGGAAGGGGGAAGTTGGAAGAGCGACATTCTTTCCTATGTGCTTTTCAAGGCTTAGATTAATTTTACAGGATCTGATTCTCAGCATCCCCTGCTATAAATAAATAGTTGCAAACTAACCCAAGGCATCGGAAAGGTAGCTATGTCCTCTTGCAGAATCTTGGAAGTGGATAAAAGGGTCCTTGAAGTTTATGATGGACAGAGTGCAGTAGTGCATTTTTCTAGCAAGATAAGAAAGATAAGGTCATTGACAGATCCTTGGGGTGGTTCATCTACAGTCCCTGAACAGGTCGGAATATGTTTTAGCTTATTATTTTCAAGGTTATTTCTTCTGACACTAAAACAGGTTCTAAATTTTTGAACTGTATCCAGCTTATGGAATAAATTACACATTTTAAAAATTACTGCACTACTGAAACATTTTTTAAAAAAATATTGGGAAATATTCAGAAGAGAAGAGTTATAGAATATGAATATATAATCAGAGACTGCTACAACAGAATAAGCATCCAGGACCTGTCTCTGAATATAAAATGCCATTCATTACTCAGAATTATCAAACCTATGACCAGTAAATAAAAGCTGATGATTGAAGACCATTCTTTGTTAAGAACTCCATAAACAAAAATAAAAATCTGTCTAATTATAAACACGAATCAAACTTAATTTTAATAATATGACTGTCCCATTAGGGTAATAAAATCAAAGGGAACGTTTGAGAATTGTTCTAATATTAAAACAGATTCTCATCCCATTAGATGGAGCAGTTTTTTCATTCACTGTAAATTTCTATTTTAGCTACAGTAAATAAACAGTTCTCCATATTTGTAGGAATCAGACTAAGAACCAAGGGCAGATGATTTTCATGTCTGCTGGAGTTATTGAAAATTCCGTCTTTTTGCAAAGAGGTTTGGATGATTAAGAGATACAAGCCTGAAAGATTCACAGGTGACCTCTTTTGAATATTCCAAATGGGCTCCCAAAGGGTGTTGGCAGTAAATTGCATCTTTAATTATGAAACCATGTTGCCAAAGGACTTGAATTTTTCAGTAACTCCGCTGTCCACAAAAATCATTTGCCTCCGGTTCTTGGCAATATCACAATAAATCTGGAAATGTTGGGGGTTGCATTTGTGTACTTTTAATAGGTGTAAGGTGTCCTCTATAGAACACCTTAAAATCTTGTTCCCTAAGAGCAGTGACTATACATAGAGTGCTTAACTTCCTCATTGGAAACAAGTTTCTGCATTTGTTAAAGTTAGTCCTTTCTCAGCCATTTTCCAATAGAAAAAATCAGGGGCATGTGTGGAGAGGAGAATGCAGGCCAGTTCCATTGCACAGCTCAAACTCCTTGCACTAGGGGAAGTGTCTAGTTGGATAGCAACTGAGGATTAATCCTGTTCTACTCTCAGCAGTGCAACCTACAGCTGTGCAGAGCCTCTTTGATTGCTCAGCGTAGATCTTGAGCTGCAAACTTTTTGGCTACCGTATTTTTCGCTCTATAAGACACACTTTTTCCCTCCTAAAAAGTAAAGGGAACTGTGTGTGCATCTTATGGAGCAAATGCAGGCTTTGCGCGGCTATCCCAGAAGCCAGAACAGCAAGAGGGTTCGTTACGCGAAGCCTCTTCAGGGCAGGGAGAGCCTTCCTCCCGCTACCCTGAAGAAGCTTCGCTTTGCTTTCGCTGAAGCCAGAACAGCAAGAGGGATCGCTGCGCAGCCAGAACAGCAAGAGGGATCGCTGCAGGTGCGTCTTATGGTCTGGTGCATCTTATAGAGTGAAAAATATGGTACTTTGTCTGACCATTTATTGTCATTATTTAAAGCCTCCCCACTACAGTCAAGAGTGCGAATCCACTGCAAATGGGAATATCAGCTTGTTTCCCTTGTATGGCAGAGGTCCTTTTCAGAAGTACTAGATGTGGTGGTCAAGCTGTCTCTTGCAGTATGGCAGGAGGCAGAGGGTCCCTATAACTCCCCAGCTGCTGTGTATGTTTAATATTCTGCTGACCATCTGGTTTTAGTAGAACTTTGCCAAAATGTCGCAAGGGTCTGATGTCTTCAAATGTAGGATATGAACCTTGCCAATGGAGACCTTTTAAAATTGTCTATCCACGTAACTATTCCGTGTCGTAGAATTGATTACTTACGATTCAAAATAGGAATGCCTTAGGAGCAGGGCTTTTTTTTAACGGGAGTTCGCAGGAGCTCAGCTCCAGCACCTCTCAGGTGGGTGCCATTGCCATTCTAAGAGAACGAGGGAGGAGTTCGTGGTGACTTCTGGCACCTCTTTTTCTGGAGAAATGAAAACCCATTTCCTCCCCTGAAGCCCTCTCATTGTGTCATCACTCTAAAGCTTTCTAACTAGGTCTGCTTGCTGCTATGCCCAGTTTTGTTTTTGCCCTGATTATTTGGGCATGGTCAAGTATTGATGGCTAACCAGCAGAAAACTAGGCTTCTGTAGGCAACCTCTTGAGCATCATAATGAAGGCAGTTTGAATGCCTGTGAGGGTGCTTTCTAATTGTACCCATTAATCTGCCCATTCAAGCTGGCTGAAAATGTAGGAGCAGATTGCCCACACAGATGGGGAACGCAGGATGGCTTGCATGAGTCAAAACCCCTGCAATATACACTTCATGGCTGTAATTTCCTATGCGCTATGGGATTTATGTCAACTGTTTCAAAATAATAAATGAAATCTTGATGCCTGAAATTGCCTCCAGCAACACACTAATAGGTTAGTGTAAAAAGAAGGTAGGCAGGCAGAGAAGCCAAGTCTGCCAGCCAAGAAAGAGACATGAAATAACATTAAGGTATTGGCAATAAAAAAAAGCTGATTGGAAAAGTTAATGAGAACTGAAATAAGATGATGCCGTGAAATTTTCTATTGATCTTTTTCTGCCTACTTGCTATCAAGGAAAATAAGGTTAGATTACCAGATACTTGCGCCGTTTATCAAAATTCTATCTCTCTGTGTATTCATTCCACTCTTGAGGGGAGAGAGAAATGAGTGTTGGGCACTGATCAAGTTTAGTGACTTGATCTCCATCTTCAGGTTCTGTGAAGGGCCAGATGAATTATTTTGGGGGTTTAGAGAAAATCAAAATAATAAGTTTTTTTAAAAAGCATCCTGTTATGTACTGAAGTTCTCACCCTGGGCCAGCAGGGGGATACTGTAGATAGTTCAGGTATGCAAATAAGCGATCGAAAGTGACGTTCAGTGATTGGCTAGTTACAGAAAATGGTTACTGTTGCGTTCTAGTGGAGCTCTATATAAGCAGGCTGGCTGAACCCTTCAGTTCAGTTCTGTTCTGGCCTGTGAATAAACAGGAGCTGTTTGAAGAATCGCAGTGTCGTCTGATATGTTCACCCACAACTTAACACATCCCTTATAAGAAATGAAAGCAGGACATTGTTCTGACAATGATTCAACAATTCTGTCACCTCCCTAGGACATGATGAAAATGAGAGAGCAGAATCTCATTGGTAAACTGGAGACATCTCAGCCTAGATCTCTAAATGACTTCACTCAGCTGTTTCGTGTAGATGTTCTTGCTGAGATTTGTTCTCCCCCCAAACTGGAGCTACCTGAGCATGGTCAGAAAAAGAAGCCTTCTGTGTTGCATTGCTTCCCAATTCATTTTCAGGAACTTGATAGCTAACAAGCAAAAATCAAGTTGTCTTGTAACCATTGCACGCCTTTAAGCCTTTGTGGGCAATGTTTTATGCATGGTCCCCCATTCTGTTTTCCAAATACTGCAGGAGTTTTCATTCCACCTCTTTTGCAGCATTTAGTTTATTTTGGGTGGTATTCAACTCAGTTATGTCTACAAATTTGAATCGGTTGACTAAATTGAATACCACCCCATATTTTTGTATTCATTTTAGTTATGGTCATCTTTCTGAAAATTGCCCTTGGAATATAATTCAAGGATGATATTAAAAAATCATTTTTTATTTCTCTTGTGACTGAGCAACAGGAAAGCCATCCAGCTTAGCCTGCCGCAACTTTAACTAACTTTAGATAAGGAGGTTTGGATGAAATGCAAGACGTTGGTAGCTGCACGTCCTATGTTTTCTGTGGTTGAGTGTGAGGAATATAATTCTGCTGCTGCTATATCCAAGATGGAAAAACACCTCGGATACGTGGTTCCACATGTTTTAGTATGGCTAATGATAGCTTGCATTCAAGCTGTCCTTGACCCATTTTAAGAGGTAATTCAAAATAGAACAGACTGTTTAGATGGATCACAGAAATGGGAAGGTGGGAGAACCTGTGAGAATTTTCAGGCTGTTGGACAAAATGAATGGACTTGTTTGGAGACAAGTGGAAACTACTGCCTGTTGAGTGGCAGAGTGGAGATAATGGAGAACAGGACTTTACTCAGTGTCCAATGGGTTCTTCTGGTTCAGCATGTAATCCAAAAGCAGGTGTGTGGTTGTCTGGCTGTAAACTCAAGAACAGAACTTGGTTGCAGCTTATGGTTTGTCTAGAGTGAGACAGACCATGAGGCTGGCTTCAAATGGCACGCTAAGCCAAACTATGGTTTAGCTCATAGCTATGCAGCAGCAGCAGGACTGCGGGAAGAGCACAGCTCCGGTGTGGTTATGCTAAACCATGGTTTGGCTTAGTCTTACATGCAGACCAGCTCAGCGTGAGAGAAGTTAGCTGGAGAAGAGAGATTTGGGTTGAGTGGTTGCTACATGGCAGGGATAGAAAGAACAAGGAACAGACTGTATTGTAATTTTTTAAAAATATATCTTTATTAATTTAAAATAAATACATTTATGAAAAACAGAAATACATACAAGTAAACAAACATACAAATAACAGAAAAATCAAACAAACCATCACACTATAAGATATAAGGATATTAATATAATTATCATCACATATACTCCTGCTATTGAACACAATTATAAAATTTATAGAAAAGAAATTTAAAACTGACTTCCAATTAATCTCACTGTACTTTGTCTGTCCATTGCTTTATACCGCGCAGTTACATATTTCTTATATAATTTCTTTTTACCTCCCTACGAACTTATATTTATACTATACAGGGATCAGTTTAATTCTGCCAAGATGTTTCCTTTTATTCCATAGTTTTCTAAATATTCTTTAAAGATTTTCCAATCCTTATAGACTTTTTGTTTTGGTTGGCCTCTTACTCTTCCTGTTGCTTTCGCTAGCTGCAGATATTTTACCATTAGGATTTGCCAATCTTCCGTGTTGGGTATTGTTGTGTATTGTAATTTTATGTTGTGAACTGCCCTGAGATTGATGGATGATGGGTGATATACAACTTTAATAAATAATAATAAAACACCTTGCTGACAGCTAAGTAAGCAGTTCTCTTTTGTAATCGGCTATTTTCTTTGGCATCTTACTTTCTGGACTCTTTCTGATCTTTAGTTCTGCTTGCTGTTTCTTGGTCCTCTTGCAGATCTAGCTACAATCCAGGATCTGATAAAATGCTGTTCCTAACACCCTGAAAGCTCTGACGGCCATATTTGTATCCATCTTACAGAAAAAACACTGAATTGTTGCACAGATTGGATGCAAGCCCATTCAACAGAACACCTTGTCCAATGAACCACCATAACCTCCAGCCTACAGCCTGGGTAACTGCTTTGCGTGAATATCTTTTGTTTAGCAAGTGTGGATCGTCCTTTCTGTTTTGAAAACCACAAGGGCTACGAATTACATAAACATGGTGTCAAGGTCTAAATTCTAGATAGTTATTAATGTATATCTTTTTTGCACATGATTTACTTTGCAACAGACCAGGAGCCAGTCATACAAGCAAATGCAAAGAGAAGAAGAAAACAGGAAACTTCAGCAGATGAAGGAAGAGCAGCGAAGAAAGGTGAAGAGCAGCAGCAATCATAGAACAAGCTTTTTCCATAGCTTATTCTACAGCTGTTCCCTTGTTTTGCCCCATGGCGTCTTAAAGATGAACAAATTTATGATGGCATAAGCTTTCGTGGATTTTCTGGAGTCCACTTCATTAAATGCAGGAAATAGTCTCCTGAATTGCAGGTGTAAACCTGGTTGGAGAGGTTTGCAAACAGTGAGGTAACAGGGATAACTTCGAAGGATCCTTGTGCAGCAAGCTTCAAACACTGTACAGTGGTACCTCGGGTTACATACGCTTCAGGTTACAACCTCCGCTAACCCAGAAATAGTGCTTCAGGTTAAGAACTTTGCTTCAGGATGAGAACAGAAATCGTGCTCCTGCAGCACGGCGGCAGCGGGATGCCCCATTAGCTAAAGTAGTGCTTCAGGTTAAGAACAGTTTCAGGTTAAGAACGGACCTCCGGAACGAATAAAGTACTTAACCCGAGGTACCACTGTATAGAGGACATCTTGGGGATCTGTTTTCCAACTATGATGTTTTTAATTTGTTAATTAAATTTGTATACCGTCCATCCTCTGAAGATCGCAGAGAAATACAAAATGAGAACACAGAATACATAACGAAACAAAAACAAGCCAATAATGGCCGCCTCCCACGAACAAATTTATAAGGCTATAGAATGTTAATTAGCCAAAGGCCTGGTTATAGAGAAATGTTTTCGCCCAGCTCCTAAAGATATGTAATGAAGGTGTCAGGCAAGCCTACAGTCTTAAAGGTATTATCTGCCAAGCTTTTTAAAAAAGAAAAAAGAAATGTGGTTAGTGTTGCACATTTAACCAAGCCATGTAGGTCTAGTTTTGCTTCCGGGAGAAAACATCAACTTGCATACTTTTACCACATTTTTGAAATCCAGAGGTGATTACTTCTTGTACTGGAGGACAAGTGCAGAGTTCCATACTGTTAAGTTGTGGGTGAACGTATCAGACGACACAGCGATTCTTCAAACAGCTCTTGTTTATTCACAGGCCAGGCCAGGACAGAACTGAACTGAAGGGTTCAGTCAGCCTGCTTATATAGAGCTCCAGTACAATGTAACTGTAACAATTTTCTGTAACTAGCCAATCACTGAACGTCACTTTCGATCCCTTATTTGCATAACTATCTACAGTATCCCCCTGCTGGCCCAGGGTGAGAACTTCAGTACATAACACATACCCAGCGGCGTAGCGTGGGTTGTCAGCACCTGGGGCAAGGCAAGTAATTTGCGCCCCCTAATCTGGGGCAAGGCAAGTAATTTGCGCCCCCTAACCCGGGGCAAGGCAAGTAATTTGCGCCCCCTAACCCCTAACCTGCCGCCGCTGCCAGCTTCTTCTTGCTGCTGCCTGGTCTGGTCTGGTGTGGTTCTCTCCCGCGCTCAGCGCTGCGCTGGGTGGCCGCTGCACTGTCCCTCCTCCAGATAGTCCCTCGCTCTCTCTCCGCACCGCACGCCTGGCACCCACCCCCTCCACAGTGGGCGGCGACCCAGCGGCTCGGATCGGATTTGCACAGCCAGCACTGCAGTGAGAGAAAGTGAGTGAGCCAGGTAGGGGCAGAGAGCTGCGAGTGCGAGCGCGCGCCCCCCAGATGTTGCGCCCGGTGCGGCCGGCCCCCCCTGCACCCCTCACGCTACGCCACTGCACATACCATAGAATTACAACTGTTTCCCCTAAAGTTTTTACTGTGTCTGAAGCATTGGAGGATCCATCCCTTCTTCCAAGAAGACCCTTGCCAATGCTTCTGTGACGGTTGAGAACACTAATTTGCGTACCAGTGATAACTTAACAATAGTGGAACCGGTTGTGTTGGTGTGGCTTGGCAGGGCCTTTGATAGTGAAGTATAATGCTAGTTTATTATTACAGGATAATTGCCTATTGCGTTCTGCATGACTGTTAAATGGTAACTCACAGTTTTTTGCTTTTTATTGTCAGGCTGAATTGTTGGAACTTAAGAAAAGGGAAGAGGAGAGAATAAGAATGAAAGCGCATCAGAATGAGCAGAGGAGGTAAAATTAGTGGAAGGAAGCCTGTGACTTGTCGTGTGAAACGTTTTTTAGGTTTGAATTCAGATGGCAGATTTTATGTATGCTTCATATAATATGACAAATGGTTATAGTTCTGTAGAGCACAGGAGTGCTTTGTGGACCAAAGAGCAGGATATAAATGATGTTGTTTTAAAATCTTCTGAATAAGCTGCATTAATCTTTTTCCCATACCAAAGCTTCCAAGCCTTTTGCCGTGTCTCATGTGAAGTGTGTAGGAAATCTGGTGGAATGCATTGCCCAAAAATGCCCATCACTTTTATTCTAAACAAATATAATGGGTCCCTCCCAGCTACATTTCTTGACTCCGAAGGAGACTTCAAGTATTTAATCTTTTGTTTTCCACTTAAGTTAAGAGAATTCATGCGACTAACTCAAGCACTGCCTTGTATTACAGCATACCGCTGGATTTTTAAAAATCAGGTTCTGCACTGATAAAAAAGCAAGGTTGGTTAATGAGTATCAAGAGCCAAGGGACGCGGGTGGCACTGTGGGTTAAACCACAGAGTCTAGGACTTGCCAATCAGAAGGTCAGCGGTTCAAATCCCTGCGACGGGGTGAGCTCCCGTTGCTCAGTCCCTGCTCCTGCCAACCTAGCAGTTCGAAAGCACGTCAAAGTGCAAGTAGATAAATAGGTACCGCTCCGGCAGGAAGGTAAACGGCGTTTCCGTGCGCTGCTCTGGTTCGCCAGAAGCGGCTTAGTCATGCTGGCCACATGACCCGGAAGCTGTATGCCAGCTCCCTCGGCCTATAGAGCAAGATGAGCGCCGCAACCCCAGAGTTGGTCACGACTGGACCTAATGGTCAGGGCTCCCTTTACCTTTACTTATCAAGAGCCATATTGTAAAAAGTTGCCATTATAGTCAGAGGTAGCTTTGCAAAATGAGGAAGCTGTGGGTTTTAATCGAATATAGTCTTCAGGCTATCTGCACAATTGGCTGTTGTCATGAAAAGCAAAGCAAATTTCTGTACTGAATTCAATTTCATAATCTCTGCCTTTTGCAAGATTCTGTTAATGGTCATTTCCTCATTTCTATTTCTAAGGGTGAATAATGACTTTCTAGACAGACTACAAAACAATAGTCAGCCAGGTGGCGTGTACCAATCTGGATGTCTTGGGAATATGCATTTTATTGCTGACAGCTGGGTAAGTAACAAACCTCATATTTCAAAATCCTGAAGAAGAAAAACAGTGAGGTGTTTTTAAAAAGTCACGCTACCTGAATAGCCTGGTGTTTGTAATGTTCACTGTCTGGTGTGGGCATGGAGCCAGGCTGATGAATATAAATTCAACAATCGCTTTCGAGGAGAAAGGAATCGGGACTTAAAACAAGCTTATCTAAACACAAAATGACAGCTGCCCACTTCTGCAGAGTTTAGATTGCCTTGAATGTTCTGTTTTATCACTCCTTCTGTATACCACAACAGAAAGGGATCTTGAGAAAATGTGTTTATCTGCGGAGGCAGAAGTAATAGCTCATATATAAGCATGGCAAGCAATACAGTCTGTTCAACCTCTAAATATAAAATGTTTAGAAGTTGTTTAAGGGAGGAGCATTTGGTGCTCTACTATCGCAGCTTCTGCTATTTTCACCTGCTCCGAGTAGTACAGGCTGTGGGTGGAGGGCAGAAGAACTAAAATGCAGGTGTCCAATTCTCTGAGGACTGAGAAATAGGGGAAAGGGGGCACTGATCCCCCTAATAGTTGTGACCTTGATGGGTCCTGTCCGCACCCTGGCATTTGCCTCGGCGTACCTACTGCTGACACCAGGCCTGCCCACAGCTCCAAATAAAGTGTTTTGTCTTTATTCCAAACATGCCGTGCTGCATCCCCGTCGATCTTAGAGGTACATTTGCTCAGAAGCATATCTTTCCACCTCACTGTCTTACCTTCGAGCCCCAAAGAAGATTATCTTCATGACTGAAGTGGCTCCTGTTTTTCCTGTAGCATGCTTGAAATGGCTAGTGGAGAAATCGTTCATTTCTGAAGTCATACCTCAGGTTGCGTTTTTTTGGGTTATGGACCACCGAAACCCGGAAGTACTGGAACGGGTTACTTCCGGGTTTCAGCGGTTGCGCATGCGCAGAAGTGCCAAATCGCAACCTGCTCGTGCGCAGACGTGCAGCTGCGGGTTGTGAACGTGCATCCCGCACGGATCACGTTCGCAACCCGAGCGACCACTGTATTTTGTTTTAAAGGATGGTATAAAGCAGGGGGTCAGCAACCTTTTTCCGCCGTGGGCCGGTCCACCGACCTTCAGACCATGTGGTGGGCCGGACTATTTTTTTTGGGGGGGGGAATGAACGAATTCCTATGCCCCACAAATAACCCAGAGATGCATTTTAAATAAAAGGACACATTCTACTCATGTAAAAACACACTGATTCCCAGATCGTCCGCGGGCCGGATTGAGAAGGCGATTGGGCCACATCTGGCGCACAAGCCTTAGGTTGCTTACCCCTGGTATAAAGGTATGCACACACTTGAACGCTGAGGGTTAACTGACTGCAAACTTTCTGCTGAGAGATCGGAGGAATCAGCAGGCAGGCTGCAGGTTTAACTGACCTTACAGCATTGTCAGCAATGGGATTGACTTTGCCGTCCCTGTGGATTGAAAGCTGTTGATTTGTCACTTCAGTATCACCGCTGCAGGAAGGAAAGAACAAGTATAAGCACCAGATACTGGAGAATTTTAGATAAAAGGTTTTTTTGCAGTGTATTAGGAGACAATTAAAAAAAACACTCATGGCCTAATAAAATCACAGAGACGAGTGAACACAATCCTAGATGTATATAGTAGTGTTTGGATGGTAAAAATTAGTGTTTGGGGAGATCATCGGACCAGAAAGGCAGCGGAATGTCTGGAGGTTGTCTAAGCAGAACCAGGATGGGCGAGAAAAGCCACCAAGCAGCAGCAACTTTGTCTGATTTTATTCTTCTTCACGAAGTCTGCTTCGCTGCATCAGCTTGTTCCACTCCCGGTTCTTTCTCCAGCCTCTTCCCCTCTTCTCCTCCAGCTGTGACAGGACTTGCTTTTAGAGGCAGGCACCAAATTGCGCAGAGAACTCTTGCAAAATGTATCCTAGGATAGAATCTCCCTCCTTGGAGGTTATTAAGCAGAGTTTGGGCATGTTAAATTTGATAGCGCTGTAGTCACTGCTCCTACTTGGTTGAACAATATCTTCCATTTCTTGCCAGGTCCTGAGTGCCACTTAATCTTAAATCAAGGGTTTCTGGCCCTCTGCTTGGTTTCACGGCCTATTGTTCTAGGGCACCTTTATTTAGGATATCTAGAAATTTTGTGTTATGTACTGAAGTTCTCACCCTGGGCCAGCAGGGGGATACTGTAGATAGTTTTCACTCAGGTCCACATATGCAAATAAGGGATTGAAAGTGACATTCAGTGATTTCTGTGTTTCAGCTCAGTGATTCAGCTCCGCTCAGAGGGTGGCCGCATCTGGCTGTGCTCTGTTGTCCATCGATCCCACCTTCGTCACCAGTGTTAAGTTGTGGGTGAACATATCAGACGACACAGCGATTCTTCAAACAGCTCTTGTTTATTCACAGGCCAGAACAGAACTGAACTGAAGGGTTCAGCCAGCCTGCTTATATAGAGCTCCACCAGAACGCAACAGTAACCATTTTCTGTAACTATCCAATCACTGAACATCACTTTCAATCCCTTATTTGCATATGTGGACCTGAGTGAAAACTATCTACAGTATCCCCCTGCTGGCCCAGGGTGAGAACTTCAGTACATAACATTTTGCCTCTTAGTTGTGACTGGAGCATGCAAAGTTAAGTGAAGACACTGCAACACTTCTCCTTTGTGTGACTCCTTCATTTTATCATCCATTTAAAGATCACTCTGGGGATTTTAGTCGTGGGGGATGAGGGTACAACCACTGTACTGAAATACTATTGGATCTCAGTATTGCCACCCAGAGTAATTCTGTGGCAATGTTTGCCCCTTCTGGGATTTCTAGCTTGTTAGACTCCATGTCCTCTTTGTTGCACACCCTTCCCTGGCTCTCCTGTGCAGTTTGCATCCAGAGATAACCGTGATCCATTGGTTCTCCCCATTCCACCAGGTTTCGGTCATGCCTTCCAGATCTCTGCACTCCTTTAAAACCATGCACCCCAATTCAGTATTAGCACACATGCATATTTTACTCTGTAGCACTTTGACCTCTTCCGTATTGTTTCCTTGCAACTTTGATCCCCTTACGCCCCTTTGTAACTAGTTGTTGTGCCACAGCATAAGAATGTACTAATATATCATGATTTTTTATAACAGCCTGAACATTTCCAGTAAAAATTGATCTACGGAACCCAAACTACAGAGGGTAAGTGGGGTTTTTTCCCATCCTCTCAAAATGGAACTAGATTTCTATTAAAACATTATGTTGGCTGCCTGAATTTCTCAGATAGATAGATAGATAGATAGATAGATAGATAGATACAGTGGTGCCTCGCAAGACGAAAAGAATCCGTTCCGCGAGTCTCTTCGTCTTGCGGTTTTTTCGTCTTGCGAAGCAAGCCCATTAGCGGTTTAGCGGATTAGCGCTATTAGCGGCTTAGCGGGCTTAGCGGATCAGCTGATAAGCGGCTTAGTGGCTTAACAGATCAGCTGTTAAGCGGTTTAGCGATCAGCTGATAAGCGGCTTAGTGGCTTAACGGATCAGCTGTTAAGCGGCTTAGCGGATCAGCTGATAAGCGGCTTAGCGATCAGCTGTTTAGCGGTTTAGCGGATCAGCTGATAAGCAGCTTAGCGGCTTGGGGAAAAGGGGGGGAGGGAAAAAACCCTGCAGGAACTCGCAAGACATTTTCGTCTTGCGAAGCAAGCCCATAGGAAATTCGTTTTACGAAGCACCTCCAAAACGGAAAACCCTTTCGTCTAGCGGGTTTTCCGTCTTGCGAGGCATTCGTCTAGCGGGGCACCACTGTAGATAGATAGATAGATAGGCAGCTTGCCTCCAGGTATGTGAATGAGAGGTGTTCTTACAGGTATATGGCATCGCTGTATGGGCTTGCAGGCCTACACTTGTTGCCAACAATATTGCCCTGTATGCAGGGACTCATACAGTTTATCCACACTTACGGTTCTCCCGTGACTTCTTCTATTTGTCCCGTAAACTCAGTGTTTGCTGCTGAATTGGAAAAGGCCTCAATCCGCAGAAAACCCATGTCAGAGAGGCCATGGCGCTGCCGCTCTCTGGTGCTGCGGTCCTCGCCCAGTAGCCAGATACAGGCTCCAGTGGGTGAATGTCCCATCCATCTCCCCGGGCAGCAATCGGGGAACGCAACACCCCTGGATCAAGGGGAATAATAGGCCTGCCCTGTTGTGCCTTGTTCAGACCACACCTGGAATCCCGTGTCCAGTTCTGGGCACCACAATTTAAGGAGGATATTGACAAGCTGGAAGGTGTGCAGAGGAGGGCAACCAAGATGGCCAAGGGTCTAGAAACGGAGACTTGATGAGGGATGGTTGAGGGAACTGGGTATGCTTTGCCTAGAGACGAGGAGACCGAGAGGAGTTAGGATAGCCATCTTCAAATATCTGAAGGGCTGCCACATGGAGGATGGAGCAAGCTTGCTTTCTCCTGCTTCGGAGGGTTGGAGTCGAACCAATGGCTTCAAGTTACAAGACAGGAGATTCCGACTAATAATCAAGAAGAACTTTCTGACAATAAGAGCTGTTCAGCAGTAGAATGCGCTCTCTTGGGAAGTTGTGGGCTCTCTTTCCTTGGAAGTTTTTAAGCAAAAGTTGGGTGCCAGGGATACTTTAGTCAGGGTGGATTTTATTTAAATCACTAATCAGTAAGACTTGATTTAAATCAATTTTACAGAAAGGTTCAACTTTGCTGGCATCCTCTGAATATTTTCAATTAGCTGAAGGCTTCGTTTTTGGAATAATAGTTTTTTGGAGTAGTTTTTACAGTTATATCAAAAATTACTGATTTGGTTATACTATCAGAAATACATAGACAGATAATTAGGAAATTATTGTTTATTATTTAGACAGCTTTTCTGCTGTACTTTATTGGAAGGAGAAAAATCATCATTTCCTTAAGTTTAAACAATTTATTTAACTAAAACAATAACATTATAGCATATGTATCCATGTTTGTTAACCAATGTGGTTAAACGAGTGTGGATGAGCCTTAACAGCCAGGAGGGCTCAAGGATGCAGAGGAGGAGAAGCCCGGGTCTTAAAATGGGCGCACTGCCAGAGTTTTCATTTATCAGAGAGAGGAAGCATACATTGCTGTTGATCAACTGTAGATTTTGGAGTTCTTTCTTTTTACTTTTTTCAACAATAGACTTTGGACCAATACGGGTACAGTGGTACAGTGGTACCTTGGGTTAAGAACTTAATTTGTTCTGAAGGTCCATTCTTAACCTGAAACTGTTCTTAACCTGAAGCACCATTTTAGCTAATGGGGGCCTCCTGCTGCCGCTGCACCGCCGAAGCACAATTTCTGTTCTCATCCTGAAGCAAAGTTCTTAACCCGAGGTACTACAGTGGTGCCTCGCAAGACGAAATTAATCCGTTCCGCGAGTGTCTTCGTCTAGCGGTTTTTTCGTCTTGCGAAGCAACCCTATTAGCGGCTTAACGGATTAGCGCTGTTAGCGGTTTAGCGGCTATTAAAGGCTTATCGGCTTAGCGGATTAGCTGCTAAAAGGCTATTAAAGGCTTAGCGGCTTAGATAAAGGGGGGGGGAGCGGAAAAAAACCCTCAAGACTCGCAAGACATTTTCATCTTGCGAAGCAAGCCCATAGGGAAATTCGTCCTTCGAAGCAACTCAAAAACGGAAAACCCTTTCGTCTAGCGGGTTTTCCGTCTTGCGAGGCATTCGTCTTGCGGGGCACCACTGTATTTCTGGGTTAGCGGAGTCTGTAACCTGAAGCGTATGTAACCCGAGGTACCACTGTACCTTGGTTTGTAACCGTTTTGGATTACAACCATGTCAAACACAGAAGTGTGTGTCCATTTTTTGTATTACAACTATTATTATTATTATTATTGTTATTGTTATTGTTATTATTATTACAACCCATTTTTTTGGAGGCCCCATTGGCGAAAGCGTGCCTTGGGTTACAACCTGTTTTGGTTTACAACCGGACCACTGTAACGGGTTATGGTTGTAACCCAAGGTACCACTGTACTTTTGTGCCTTATATTTAGTATGAAATACATTTTGAATCATATGTTTCTTCTGCTGTCCTTTGACTAGAAAGGGTATTATATACTTTTCACATCTCAAACATGGAAAGCTTCAAGCTTTCCCTACCATTCAGCTCAATAGCTTTAGGGGTTTTTTTCTGAACACGATAGCACTAATTCCAACTTCATCTTACAGGATTCCAGGTATATTATCTTGGAGAAATTATCTTGGAAAAAGCTTCAGGGATCTATTCTTCCTCTGCCTGCACATCTTTCATCGCTTTTTATTTTTTTAGCCTTGCTGGTTTGACCTGCTGTCTTTCCTCTCCAGCTTATGAGTATTTCAAGCTATTGATTATGGTGCTGCTATTAAATCTCAAAGAAATTGTTTCTCTCACAGCTTGTCTTGCTTGTTGTGGCAGTTTTTCATCTCTCAGAAGTTTTATGTCCATTTACTCTTGACTAGCACACCATCTGAGCTGCAGAAACCTGGCAGTTCCGACATGTGTGTACATGCTCATTTTTAATGTCACTGAGAGAAAAAGTAATTTTTATACTGTATGTTGTAACTGGTTTTAATTCGAAACTCCTCTAATGTGCAAAAACATAATAAAATATTACATAAATAAATTAACAGTGCCATGGTCATTTGCACCACCTGATACCTTTTTGATGTTTTGTGTCTTGTTGGGGAAAACCTTAGAAGAACTCCAAAAATGTTTATTTAGCAGTCCTATGGGAAAAACAATACTAGACAAATGTTGTGAGGAAAGCTTAAATAGCTGATAGAAATATTGTTAGGTTATTTAAGAAATAGAGAACTATAAATACAGGGGAGAAGAATTTAGATGATGTAATAGCTAAGATACCTCAAGCTGAGGTATAAAAACATAATAAAACATTACACATTAAAAAGTGCTCCTATACAGGGCTGCTTTCAGAGGTCTTCTAAAGTTTATATAGTTGCTCATCTCTTTAACATCTGCTGGGAGGGTGTTCCACAGGGAGGACACCACTACTGAGAAGGCCCCCTCTGCCTGGTTCCCTATAGCTTCACTTCTCACAGTGAGGGAACCACCAGAGACCCTTGGAAGATGACCTCAGTGTCTGGGTTGAGTGATGGGGGTAGAGATGCTCCTTCAGGTATGGTGGGCCGAGGCCATTTAGGGCATTAAAAGTCAGTACCAACACTTTGAATTGTACTTTGAAATGTACTGAGATCCAGTGAAGATCCTTTAGGACTGGTGTTACATGGTCCCAGTGTCCACTCCCAGTCACCTATCTAGCTGCTGCATTTTGGATTAGTTGTAGTTTCTGGGCTACCTTCACAGGTAGCCCCACACAGAGCACATTACAGTTGTCCAAGTGGGAGATAACTAGAGCACGCACCACTCTGGTGAGACAGTCTGCGGGCAGGTAGGGTCTCAGCTGGCGTACCAAATGAAGTTGGTAGACAGCTGCCCTGGACACAGAATTAACCTGTGCCTCCATAGACCGCTATGAGCCCAGAATGACTCCTAGGCTATACAGCTAGTCCAGGCTTCCTCAACCTCAGCCCTCCAGATGTTTTTGGCCTACAACTCCCATGATCCCTAGCTAGCAGGACCAGTGGTCAGGGATGATGGGAATTGTAGTCTCCAAACATCTGGAGGGCTGAGGTTGAGGAAACCTGAGCTAGTCCTTTAGGAGCACAGTTACCCCATTCAGGACCAGGGAATCCCCCACACCTGCCCACCCCCTGTCCTCCAGAAACAGTACTTCTGTCTTGTTGGGTTTTAACCTCAATCTTGTAGCCACCAAGCCATCCTCCAACTGCCTCAACATGCTCACACAGGACATTCACAGCCTTCGCTGGTTCTGATTTAAATGAGAGGTAGAGCTGGGTATCATCCGCATACTGGTGAACACCCAGCCTAAACCCCCTGGTGATAAGTCATAACATGATAGGGCCAAGAAGGCAGGGAATACTAGAAGGACACAAGTTGGTCATGAGCCTCTTCCATGCCATAAGCCTTTCCTAACCTTGGCTCCTTAGATTGTATTGGACTACTACTCCCATCATGCCTAGCTCGCAGGCTCAGTGGTCAGGGATGATGGGAATTGTAGTCAAGAAGCATCTGGGCACCCAAGCTTGGGAGATGCTGCCATAATGGAATCCACCTGGGCAAGGAATTTTTAGATAAGTCAAATGAAAATGTTAATGATATGCACAACACCTGGAATAAGACTACGCCTTACTGGACAGCAGGAGCTCCTGGCTTGGCAAGAGTCTTGCAAATTGGCTTGCCAGGGCAGCATGCCAACTTGATGTTGAAGGTGGTAGACCATTAGATATTAACTGATATTACTGATATTAGGGATGCGGGTGGCGCTGTGGGTTAAACCACAGAGCCTAGGACTTGCTGATCAGAAGGTCGGCGGTTCAAATCCCCATAATGGGGTGAGCTCCTGTTGCTCGGTCCCTGCTCCTGCTCCTGCCCACCGAGCAGTTCGAAAGCACATCAAAGTGCAAGTAGATAAATAGGTACCACTCCGGCGGGAAGGTAAACGGCATTTCCGTGCGCTGCTCTGGTTTGCCAGAAGTGGCTTAGTCATGCTGGCCACATGACCCGGAAGCTGTATGCTGGCTCGCTCGGCCAATAAAGTGAGATGAGCACCGCAACCCCAGAGTCGGTCACAACTGGACCTAATGGTCAGGGGTCCCTTTACCTTTTTACAGATATTAACTAAAGTATTGATGGGAAGACATAAGCACCTCACAAGCAAATTGAGATGAATAGCAAATAAATCAGAATGAACACTCAAGAAAGATTGGACACAGTTCCATCTCTGAATCCAAATCTGGACGAATGGCCAGAGAAGAGGTCATCTGGAAGAATGTTCAGTTTTACTTTGTAGCAAATGTAGGGTTGCTATATTTCAGATAGTGAAAATCTGGGCAGAAAAGTTGTTGAGCTTTCTTTGCAAAATCTTGGGGAGAAAATGAAGTTTTTGAACTATTTTTAAGGGAAATTGCCCAAAATGACACTGCCGACGTGGGTTGCCAGACATCCGGATTTTCCTGGACGTTTCAGCGATTTCCGCCCAGACACATCTTCCGACGGCCAATTGCCAACTATGTCCGGTGTTAAGCTGTGGGTGAACATATCAGACGACAGAACTGAACTGAAGGGCTCAATCAGCCTGCTTATATAGAGCTCCAGTACAACGTTACTGTAGCAACTTTCTAAAACTATCCAATCACTGAACGTCACTTTTGATCCTTCATTTGCATAACTATCTACAGTATCCCCCTGCTGGCCCAGGGTGAGAACTTCAGTACATAACATCCGGGAAAATCCAGATGTATGGCAAATGTGTTTCTTCCGGCAAAGAAAAGTACGGTGCCTGGGCATGAGATCCCAGAAGAGAAGCAGCTTTTCTAGAATGCCACTGAACTGTTTGATGTTCAGTAGGTAACGGAATAAAATTCCACAAGTACAAATTGCAAGTGATTTTTTTTTTAAAAAAAATCTCAAGTCTCCTTCAGCTTCACCTTTTTAAAATGTGGAACTGTGATTCATTTCCTTTTTAAATGCCTTGTCTGGTGAAATGCATTGGTATTTCCTCCCTTCTCTGCCTTGTACAAGAGCCAAGCAATAGGGAGAGCTGGAAGTGGAAAAGCTTCCCCCTTTAACTTAACCTGCCGCATCATTAAAAATGGCCCCTAGGTTCTCATTAGGTGCAGTCAGGATTCAAAGCAAATTTCTTATAAGCTCTGGATACCTTTGGCACCCTCTAGTGCCATTGAGGCAATTGTACACCTGTCGTTTTAAATGTGTGTCTGAGAAGCTGGTCTGGGTTGAAGGCTCAAAACTGGAAGCTTGCGGCAGAGAGATGGTGCTGATTTTGAAATGCAATGCGATTTTGCCTTGGTATTTAAAGAAGAAGAAGAAGAGTTTGGATTTGATATCCCGCCTTTCACTCCCTTTAAGGAGTCTCAAAGCGGCTAACATTCTCCTTTCCCTTCCTCCCCACAACAAACACTCTGTGAGGTGAGTGGGGCTGAGAGATTTCAAAGAAGTGTGACTGGCCCAAGGTCACCCAGCAGTTGCATGTGGAGGAGCGGAGACTCGAACCCGGTTCCCCAGATTACGAGACTACCGCTCTTAACCACTACACCACACTGGCACTAAAGGCTTCATATGACCATTCACGTGATGAGCAGTACCTACTGCATGGAAACTTACCAATGCGGAACCCATCTAGTCTTCCAAAGCTAGTAATAAATGCTCTTGTTAAATTTTATCAGTACAGTCATACCTAGAGTTGAATGTGCTTCGGGTTGAGCGCGCTCATGTTGCGCTCCACGGCAACCCGGAAGTAACGGAGCGCGTTACTTCCAGGTTTCGCCGCTCGCGCATGCGCAGATGCTCAAAATGACGTCACGTGCATGCGCGGAAGAGGCGAAACGCGACCCACAGATGCGCCATCGTGTCTTGCATTCCGTTCGGGATGTAAACGGGGCTCCGGAACGGATCCCGTTCGCATCCCGAGGTACCACTGTAGTACTTGACTCACAGAAACAATGTGTTCTCTTGTCAGGTAGTTATTTATCGCTTTGACATCTGATGGGAGGGTGTTCCACAGGGCGGGCGCCACTACCGAGAAGGCCCTCTGCCTGCTTCCCTGTAGCTTTGCTTCTCGCAATGAGGGAACCACCAGAAGGCCCTCGGCGCTGGACCTCAGCGTCCGGGCAGAATGATGGGGGTGGAGACGCTCCTTCAGGTATACTGGGCCGAGGCCGTTTAGGGCTTTAAAGGTCAACACCAACACTTTGAATTGTGCTCGGAAACGTACTGGGAGCCAATGTAGGTCTTTCAAGACCGGTGTTATGTGGTCTCGGCGGCCGCCCCCCAGTCACCAGTCTAGCTGCCGCATTCTGGATTAATTGTAGTTTCCGGGTCACCTTCAAAGGTAGCCCCATGTAGAGCGCGTTGCAGTAGTCCAAGCGGGAGATAACTAGAGCATGCACCACTCTGGCGAGACAGTCCGCGGGCAGGTAGGGTCTCAGCCTGCGTACCAGGTGGAGTTGGTAGACAGCTCAACAGAATCATAGCTTTGTAGGATGTTTATACCAGATCAGGTCCAGCTTCAGGCATGCTTGGAGGAGACTGGATATCTGGATGTATTTGAGCCTGTCTTCCAGCCTGGTCATGGCACTGAAGCTGCCTTGGTCTTCCTGGTTGATGACACCAGTCAAAGAGAGATTGGGAGAGTTCAGCCCTGCTTTTGATACTGTTGACGACAGCATCCTTCTGGGGGATCTCGTGGAGGTGGGGTTGTGGCACTGTACTTCAGTGGTTCTGCTCCTCGTGTATGGTAGCTCCCCTGTGCTGTCCTTCAGGGTCTCATCTTGTCCCCTGTGCTATTTTAACACCTATGTGAAGCCGCTGGGGGCTCTCACCAGGAGTTTGGGAGCGAAGTGTCACCAGTCTGCAGATGACACCCAGCTCTATCTCTGTTTCACGTGAATCAGGAGAGGTGACTGAGGTGCTAGACAAGTGATTGGCTTCCTAAACGTCGTAGTCCCGTCAACCCAAGCCAGGTCACTTCAAGCTAAGCTTTAGCTAAACTGCCTGGGAATGGTAAAAGTAGTAGCATAACACTGTCCAGGGACCCAAAATTGAAGAACATGGAACTGTAGACCTGAACTGGTCTAATAATTATTGCCTCTCTCCAGGGGCGTCTTGCCCATAGAGGCAAATGGCGCGGGGCACCAGGGCGCCAAGTTCTGGAGGGTGCCAGGGAAGAGGTGAAGGCTGGGTGTGGCGCCTCCCGGCATCGGCTCGCTGCCCTTGCCCACCTCTTCCCCGCCAGAGAAGTCGCCCTCCAGCTGCTGCCTGCCTCCTCCAGCCCCACAAAGCTGCCGGCAGCGCCGTAAAAAGGTCGGCAACTCTGGGAAACAGTGTGTGTGTGTGTGTGTGTGTGTGTGTGTGTGTGTGGAGGGATATTTGCACCACGGCGCCAGATATACTTAAGATGGCCCTGCCTCTCTCCAAAGAACTCTGTGAATTGTAGTTCTGTTTGTAAGGGGGGAGTCTAAGGATCTCCAACAGAGACTTATCACCACCCTCCCAAAATGCCATTCCCTTGAATCTTTGGAAGAAGTCATGATGGTGGCCGCATGTCTTACTTTATTCTCTCTCCCGCCCAACAACAACAACAACAAGGACTTTATTTGACCTGATCTCACGAGCCAAACTTTGGGCTAAACTCAATGCTACCAACATTGACAAAAGACTACTATTCTTGATAAGAAGCCTTTATAAAGACTCCAAGTTATATGTAAGAACCTCAGTAAATGGGCAACTAATTGGCCCTGTACCAGCTACAAAAGGAGTCAAACAGGGCTGTATTTTAGCCCCGGCCT